CAGCCAAACATTGACTGGACGGTGCATGACTACGTGGAGAACTGGAGTGCTGACACACAGCTCAATTTAGGGGCTGATTCACTGCTTGTGGCAGGGGTTCCTGATACAAGAACACAACACATCCCACAAGCATCTATTCTAGGTAGGCCCTTGGTACAATTATCATACTTTCCCCTATTCGGCTTAAGAGGGACCATACTTTAAGAAAATTCTTCAGAGGGCTTTTTCAGGGCCATCCTAGTAATTGTGAGGAGATGGAGCTGCCGGTGAAGCTGACCATCACGGAGGACGCAAGCTGGCTGGGCCGCTGTATGTCACACTGCTGGCCCGCATGGCGAGACATCAAGTGCCTAAGTCGGCCCATGGGATGTTTTCTTGTAGGTTCCCATTATTTGGGTTTAAGAGGGGCATATTTAGGGTTTTAGGGTTTAGGGTTTAGGGGTTTAAGAGGGCATATTTCGGTTTTTTTTCGGAGGGTTCTCAGGGCCGTCCTAGGTACTCCGTCCACAACGGGGATGAGGGTGGTCCCGTGCTGTTCACGATTGAGAAAGGGATCACTTGCTCCAACTGCCCACTCATCATCGACGGCGATGGTGGTCCACTTCGGTGCCCCTGTTGCTTTTGCCTCCCTTACCTCGAAGCGAAGGACCTCAATGGCCAGCAATTGGGGCAAGTCAAGTACGTCTGCGACATGTGCCCCTTCGTCCCAAAGTATGATGTTCTTGACAAGAAGGGCAACCGCATGTTCCGAATCCGTCCAGACACTTGCGTGGGTGGGCTCTGTGTCCAATGCCGATGCGGCGGTGGTAGCAAGGGCAAGTGTTTCCGGATCCCGTTCCCCATCCGCGAGCCTAACCCACCCTACATGCCCGTTGGAGATGCAGCTATCACCGACTTGTGGGCCGGCATGAAGCATGAGTGCTGCACCAACCGTGAGATGTACCAGGTGAAGTTCCCTCCAAACATGCAAGATGCTGAGACGGTGCGCAAGCTAATCATGGCAGCCACCTTGCTCATTGACATCACCCTGAACGAGCAGGATCAGTGAGGGGCACTTAAGATGTGCGGTGCCTCCGCACTGGCAACACAAAGCTATGTGCCTGATGAGGGGCATCATCGATGCAGGACTTAACTTCACGTTCGCAGTAATTTCCCGCAAACTCAACGAAATATACCAAGCAGAGAAGCGCCTAATAGGCACCGGCATGTTTGGACGTGCTGGGGAGAGGCGATCTTTGATGGAGAGCTCTTGCTTCTCAGCAGTCATGTCCCAAAAGCGGGAGGGTTCAACGTACCTTATAAGACGTCACAACCTCAGTTTATGTAGGTTGGGAATCGCAACCTCCGTATAGTTCACCCTAAACCCTGAAAACCCTAAACCCTGAGTAACCTTCAATGCGGCCTTCTTCGCCCGAATGCAGGAGTCTAACCCACTACGAGATAATGAACTACCCAAATAGCTACTAAAATCAATGCAGGCGCTTAAGCCTTGGGATGTTCACCCTTATACTAACAGTCCTTAATAGCGGTTATGATCCCTATCAAGGACTGTTAGTATAAGGGGGGGAAATTCCCAAGCTAAACCCCTTAGTATAATCATAAGGTAAACTATTGCAAATACCCACGGTTAGTCTAACTTACTCTATATTGTTTAGTCTTCTGGGCCTCGGGACACCCTGGTGGCCCCCCCTAAACCCTATAAACCCTAAGCCCTGAACCCTAATGAAACCCTAACATAAACCCCAAACCCTAAAACCTATACCCCGAACCCTAAACCCCAAACCCCAAACCCTAAACCCGAAACCCTAAACTGCACCGAACACCCGTTGCAGGGCCATCCCGGATCGCAGCCGTGGGCTCCCACAGCGGCCTTGCTCTGGGAGCGCCTGGGCGCGCTCAACTTGTCAGGGTTTAGGGTTTACAGGGTTTAGGGTTTAGGGTTTACGGTTTAGGGTTTAGGGTTTACAGGGTTTAGGGTTTACAGGGTTTAGGGTTTAGGGTTTAGGGTTTAGGGTTTAGGGTTTAGGGTTTAGGGCTTAGGGTTGCGTAGGGTTTAGGGTCCGGGTTCAGGGTGCCTGGGTTTTGTCGTTTAGGGTTCTAGCCCAACTCCCCCGACAAAACTCCCCAATTCCCAATGTCCGCGAACCTGCATCCCCAAATTCAAGAGCAATACACCTAAGCCCCTTATGCACCCAACTTGCAGTCCCTATACACCCGAATCCCCCTACACCCTGTAAACCCTTAACCCTCTATATATGTATACATATTTTTCTATGTATATATATACATATATATATACACATTATACATATACATACACCTGTATGAACCCAAAAATCCTAATCAATCGTAACCCCCCCCCCCCAAAGCCGCAAACCCCAGAACCGCTGCATGAACTCTGAAGCCACAGCTCTCGACCCAACCTGCCCTCACCCCCCCCCCCCCCCCCCCCCCCCCCCCCCCCCCCCCCCCCCCCCCCCCCCCCTCCAAAAAAAAGTGACATAAATTAATGAAAAGCGACGACTCGATACCCCAAAACCTCTTTTATGTAGGGGTTAGGGCCTAGGGCTTAGGGGGTTTAACTCCGAAATCTCCAAACTCCAAGCCCAACTCCCTCAATCCGGAACTCTATCCCCTCAGAGCCGAACCTTGTCCCTCCCCCCCGGCCCCAAACCTCAAAACCCTGCAGAAAACCTGCACAAACCTGCCTTGGTAGCTGAGTGGTTTGACAAAAATTGGGGTTTCGGGTTTAGGGATTAGGCTTGGGGTCTAGGGTTTTGCAAGCCTGCCTTGGTAGCTGAGTGGTAACCCTTTTGCCCTTTGTGGGTTCTGGGCTCCCATTCATAATGGCAACCAGGCCCCAAAGGGGCACAGCCGAAGCCCCACCCCCCCACATCCCTAGCTTGAGTGTTTCCTTGGAAAGCTGGCCCTTGACATCACGGCCCCGATGGAGCGTCACCCTCAGCCCTAAACCCTAAACCCTAAACCCTAAGCCCTAAGCCCTAAGCCCTAACCATAAACACGAAAAGCTGCTTCGGCTGACAGAGTCTCTTGGTCCAAGCTTGAGGTCATGCCTCAGTTGAAGCCTCAGTTGAGCAGCTAGCATGGTCGGGGGCTAATGGCTCCAGGGGTACAAGATGCAGCGCCATCATTTCCGGCGCTTTTGGCTTGGCAACACCCGGGGCTATGCGCCCTATAGGCCCTATTAGGGTTTAGGGTTTAGGACCCTAAGCCGCAGCTGTTCTTTGTATCCTGGGCGCACGGGGCCATGGCGGAGAACGATGCGTTCTGCGCGGCCCAGGTGAATGATGAAGTCCCTTCAGAAGCCCGGAGGCTTGCTTCTAGGGCTTACGGGGCTTGTTTAGGGCCTCGTTCCGTATAGTAGGCCCGGTATCTAAATCTGGCTGTACTTTCAGGTCATAGCAGTACAGGTGCCTGAAGCATTCTGGAGTGCTGTCCACAGATGCACAAAAAATTAGGGTTTAGAGGTTTATCGGGCCTTATACGGCCTTAGTAGGGTTTATAGTAGGGTGTTTTGGTAGAGTCTCTTTGCTACGCGTATTGCATGCGGGAGTCAGCGCGCGCTCGACTGTCGCATGGGCAAATCTCACAGGGTAGGCTGGAAGTTTACCCTCACCCTAAACCCGAAGCCCTGCAGTAGCCTTTTGTGGTTTAGCTAGTCGGGGGGGGAGGGGAGGACTCTGAAGGGACAACGTCTAAGTAATCTTCAGGAGGACGATCTACACTCTGGGCCATCTTGGGTTGTATTCCTTAGGGTTCAGGGTTGGTCTAGGGTTCAGGGTTTACGGCTTGCGGTTGTGGTCCTGTTTGAGGGCTCTCCATCTCTGATGCCCCTTATTCGCTATCTGGGGTGCTTTGTGTTGCAGGCAAGCTGCTGCACCAACCAGCGACCTGGGTAAGGCAGCAGGACCTTGAACCCGAAACCCTAAACCCCAAACCCTAAAACCCCTGAAAAAACCGGGCATGAGGTTTGACAGGGATCCCTTGAAGGACCCCAAATGGTCCAGCAATGTTATGGGCAATGCAATATTCGTTATATTGGGCAATGCTATATCCTGTATAAATCCGAAGCCCTACGCCCTGAACCCTGAACCCCGAAACCCGCAACAGTCAACCCCAAACCCTCAAACCTCAATACTTTACTGTAACTTTAGATCCTTACCTTTTTTGGGTTTATTGGGTTTCTTATTAAGGCAGCTAACAGTTTAATTTATAGCTACCCTCCTGAGTGCAGCCAAGCATTCTACAACGCCAGATTGCTCGGGTTTTCAGACTTCGGCGTAGGACCCGTTGAGCCCGGCTGCCGTATTATGTCTGCAGCCGCTGCGGTCGCCTACCAGGCAGGGATGCCGAAAGCCCTAAACCCCCTAAACCCTAAACCCTAAACCCTAAATCCCCCTAAACCCTAAACCTTAAACCCTAAACCTGGCTGGGATTTCAGGATTTCTCTTGGGGTTGGGAGCATCTGGGGAGTTGAGTTTTTGTAGGGGGCGTTCACAAGACACGCTTGCGCCCCAGGCAAGCAGAAGCCAAAAGGCATGCGAGCCGCAGAGAGCAGGGGTTGTTTGTTTGCGCACAGTACAGGGGGGCAGAAGCTTAGGATTCTTTTGGCTGCTGGCTGAATGTATTATTGCATTCACTCGCAGTGAAGCTTTCGCAGGTCGACGAGGACCAGGACACCTCACCTGACTCCGAGAGGCCTGTATAAGGGCCGTTCCGGGCAGATTTTCCGCCCGAAGCCTACCGTACAAATTTGCAGAAGATAGGGTTCCGACTGCCATACGATCGCTGCAATGTTTGCAGATGAACTATCTTCCCCAAAGCAGTGTAGCCTACACTAAGGGTTTCCCACGTTCATAAAGAAGAATCATCCTCATCATCATCATCATCGTCATCATCATACTCATACTCATACTCACAATCAGAATCATAATCAGAATAAAATCTTAATAACAAAATAATAAATAAATAATATATACATATTTATTTATTTATTTAGAAATGAGTAGATAAATCAATAAATACCCCCTTCAGGCACTGCCAGGCGGCTTTGGTCAAGCATGCCCTCAGTGAGGCAACGCTGGTTGTGTTGCCTGGGTCTATCGTTCAGGGCATCAGGATGTGGAACCGTATTGAAACACGAAACTATCCCTATTTGGGGCTTAGGGTTTAGGGTTTAGGGTTTCGTAGCCTACACCCCAGCGCCCCAACCCTAAAACCCCCTGACCTAGTCCTGGAGGTGGCGAGATGAGGATAAAGCAGAAGCCCCGACACCCGACAAGGCCCAAGACACGAAGAGGACCCGACACCCCCAAATTCCAGAGACCAGAAAACACCAAAAGGCTGCAGGTGCGGAGCCCCAACATTTTCACGGGCAACTCTAGCAACCTACTGTCCTGCAGAGTTAGCCAGGATACTGTAGTGAGGAATATTCGGTCCTGCAACCCCTACGCAAACGACCCTATTCTGGCCAGATGGTCAACACCGAAAAAAAATATGTATATCCATCTATATATATATATATATACATATTTATTTGTTTTTTTGGGGGGTGGGGGGTGTGTGGGGGGGGGGGGGGGGGGGGGGGGGGGGCGTGGGGCAACCGAGTAGCGAGCATTGCACTTATCGGCCTTGGCTCCCTTGTGCCTCAGAGGCACAGAGAACCAGCCGCCGACTACGGCGGCGAGTGCCTTAAAGATTATTGGGAAACTTTTTTTAAAGTTTTGGGTACCATAATTCCTAGGAAACTAGCTAAAATTATATCATTTTTTGGCTTGATAATTCCTAAGAAACTAGCTAAAATTATGATTTTTGCTCGGGCTCCCCAAGAGCAGTATAGGTGCGAATCCCTGCCTTGATCATCGGATTCCTGCTGATGGGCACCTGGGCTGTGGCTGGTACGGGTTAAGAGAGGGTTCAAGAGAGAAGCCCTAAGTTTAGGGTTTAGGGTTTAGGGTCTAGGCTTTAGGGTTTAGGGTTTAGGGTCTAGGCCTAAATCTTATAAACCTTAAACCCCATAACTTGATTCAGCGTTTTGGCCCCAGGTCCGCAGGCCCTAAGGAGTTCTCAACGACCATGCCAACCCTTCACCCTTTTCATTTTCTGATTAGAGATGATGTAAGAAGTTTCATAGAAACTACCCAAAATGCCCATTCTACTTAGATAGTCCCGCAAACCCTCAGCTCTAGACACTTGACACCCTAAACCCTAAACCCTAACCCTAAACCCCAAACCCCAAACCCCAAACCCTAAACCCTAAACCCTAAATGATGCCAAGGATTTTCCATCTGGCCAGTGGGCTTGTCATGGTCGGCTCAAGCGGCCATGCTCGTCTTCGTGCGGGACGGGTTCTAGGGTTGCTTGTGAGTTTAGGGCTTTAGGCTTCAGGTATTAGGGTTTAAGGTTTAGGGTTTAGGGTTTAGGGTTTAGGGTTTAGGGTTTAGGTAGCATGTGAGGGACAAGGGCTTAAGTGGACGCAAGGGCGTCTTAGTGTTTGGGGCTTAGAGGTTTCAGGTTCGCGAAGTCAGAACTTACAGGTTTAGGGTTTCGGGGCCGAGCACCACCTGAAGAACCGCAAACCTCCCTTTGGGTAGGTTTTTCCCTAAACCCTAAACCTATTCCCTGAACCCTACACCCCTAAACCCTAAACCCTAAGATTCTCTCTGGCAACATGCAGAATAGCGGGCTTTGAGTTCTTCAGGAAGCACAGCCCCTGCTTAACGCTGCATCGACCTGGAACGCGCAGTTTTCAGGGGAATCTAAACTCTAAACCCTAAACCCTAAACCCTAAACCCTAAACCCTAAACCCTAAACCGTGGCTGCGTGCCTATTCATTTTGGTGCCCAAGGCCGAAAAGGAATTTGGCGTGAAACCGACTTGCAAGTAAACTCTTAGAGTCTTAAAACAAACGAACATACAAGTGCACAAATAGACGAGTACATTTGTGTATGCATGTGTGTGTGTCGTCTATACTCATACACTTGTATATATACATATGTATGTCTGTATGTTATATATACACATACAGATATAGTAATAATATTCAGAAGAACATAAATATTCATAACAATAAAATGGGTTAGTATTACTATTGTTGTTGTTATTACTGTACATATCTACATATGTATACCTCTCCTTATTTATAAACAAATGATTATAAAAATAAAAATATATATAAATATAAATATAAATAAATATATATATATATATACATTTTTGTATATACATGTGTGTATTTATATGCATGTATACGTAATTATGTGTATGTGTACGTATGTTTTTGATGTGTGCGTACGCTATCAGGTTGTGTTGTGAAGTCGCGCCACAAGAGCTTGGCTTTTAAGGGGTTTTCCGGGCGTTTGGGGTTTCGGGGGTTTAGAGTTTTGGGGGCCTTTTGGTGCAAAGGTCGAAGTCTAGGGATTAGGCGGTTTTGGGGTTGTGGGGTTCTGGCGAGGAGTTGCTCTTTAGGGATTGTGGGTTAGGATTTGGGGTACCGAATTCCCTACAAGCTGAGCCTCTGCTTGCTGGACCCACTGTCGGCAATCGCGGGGATGTCCCCCTTTATACTGACAGTCCTTAATAGGGATTCCAATACAGGGTACTAGGATCCTTTTTAAGGACTGTCAGCATAAGGGGGAGCATCCCAAACAGTCCTTGATAGGGATTCTAATACAGGGTACTAGGATCCTTATTAAGGACTGTTAGCATAAGGGGGTACTAGGATCCTTTTTAAGGACTGTTAGTATAAAGGGGTACTAGGATCCTTTTTAAGGACTGTTAGCATAAGGGGGAGCATCCCGAAGGTTACTGTTCAGAAACATTTGAGAAAGGGCACTGCGTCGCCCTGCAAGTGAAGCACCGGAGTGAGGGCTTTCTCACTGCGATGTGCGTTTAAGGATCTAGATAATAAACCCTAAACCCTAAACCCTAAACCCTAAACCCTAAACCCCCTAAACCCGGGGATTGTTTGAGCTTAGTTCATTTTCTGTGGGTGTTTGTGGGGTCGAAAGGCTTTGGGGGGTTGTAGGGTTTTTGGTATCCCCAAACCCCATAAACTTTCAGAGGACCTGCTGCGCTTGCTGGGTCGCATGTCATGGCTCTGCGCCTGCTTGCCCTCCGATCGCTGGGCGCCTAAGCTGGGGACGATCTTCCTCCTCGTCATGGGCATCAGGCCAAGTCCTCAGGGTTTAAAGGCACCTAGCCCTTGAACCCTAAAACCCTTAACCCTATTCTAAGCTCAGGGTGTTGGTTAACTGTCATAGAACCCCAAGCCCTTTGTGGGTTGGGTGCAGTTCAGGGTTTGAGGTTAGTCCTTTGAAGATTCCTTGGTTTGGGTTTTGGCTTTAGGGTTCATGAAGGTCTATGGCACATAACCTAACGTTCCAAGGTGGGGGGGGGGGTTGTGCCTTGTCATTCGGAGCTGTTATTCTAAACCGCAACCCTCACCCCTAACTCCTAACCCTTAAGCCCAAGTCCCTGGGACTTCTCACTCAAAAGTCTCGGGCTACATTGGCTGCTTGCGCAGGCGTTTGAGCGTGCTTGTTGCGCGTGCTCTCTGCGTGCTGAGCCTCACAGGGACTTTCTTGCCTGCTTCTTAAAGGTGTCGGGAGGTTTCTGATGCAGAGAGGAGGAACCCTGAGCAGGCTCTCATCTCAAGCACGGCAGATAGCATAACTTCCTGCCACCACGCCTTCAGGAACCCTAAGCCCTAAACCCTAAACCCTTGTGACAGTCTGGTGCGTAAAGTGTACAGCCGAGGTCACATCTCATTACTTCACACTCCTTGTTACCAAGCCCAATCCCTAGACCCCTAATACAGGGAGGTTTTGTTTTCACTTCGTTATACCCTCGCAGGCCTTGGGCCCGAAGCCTATCAGCCAAAATTGCGCTCCGCAGGAACTGCTCCTTAGTGACCCCACCTCAAAACCCCAAACCCCAAACCCCAAACCCCAAACCCCAAACCCCAAACCCCAAACCCCAAACCCCAAACCCCAAACCCCAAACCCCAAACCCCAACCCCAAACCCCCAACCCCAAACCCCAAACCCCAAACCCCAAACCCCAAACCCCAAACCCCAAACCCCAAACCCCAAACCCCAAACCCCAAACCCCAAACCCCAAACCCCAAACCCCAAACCCCAAACCCTACCCCCTTGGATAAGGGAATCCCAAGCTACTCACGCTTCCGCGAGGTGCTTTGTCTGGCATTTTCGGAGTTCCTACCTGTACACACAGCAGCTCAGCGACCACTTGGACCAGGGGCGTCCTTGTGAAATCGACGACGAGGCTTGGCCTAAACCCAAACCTCAACCCTAAACCCTAAAATCGTCTGGCTGGCTCTTAGGACTTGAACCTTTTGGGTTCTTGTAGAAACTGCCATAAGGAGCTTAAAAATTAAGCTGAGGGGTTCAGAAGTCAGCCAAGGAGGAAGCTGACTGCTGGCTCGGAGCCTACATGATCTTCGGCAAGGCCTTGATGTTCACCGTCATGCACTGCTGGCAGTCTCCAGGCTCTGAAACCCCCAAGCAATTATAAAGACGAAGCCTTATAAACCCCGCTTTTTGCTTTTGGACTCAACCCTATACCCGGTAGTACTTCGGTTGCGATGTTTTGAGGCACGTGACGCCTGAGGCTTTAAAGCCAAGTACCCCAATGTTGCAGGGGCGGGAGTCGGGTCGCTCGACCACGTACGTATCTGGCTCTACGTATTTATAGAGACACACACACACAAAGTTCCAAATCCGAATGAAGCCCTAAAAGACTTTGGGTGGGCAGTGGGATGGAGAGCTGAGGATTCCCTACCTCATCTACGGCCTCGTGTTGCCTTCGCGAGCCTGCCTAGGGCGGTTGTGGGTGGGCCTGGCACTCGTTCAGCTGATCAAGGGCATCTCCGACTTTCTCGTTCTGCTGCCTTCCCAGGCATCGACAGTACCTGGTTTAGGCTTTGGGGTTGACGCCCCTAAACCCTAAACCCTAAACCTTGGAGGTTTAGGGCTTTGTTCCCCGAATCCCATCCTCAGGGTCAGGGCATCGAGTCTAAGACACTCGTTGCTGTTGAGGGCCCAAAGTTTCCTTAAAGCCATTGGCTGGGGATAAACCCTGTAAACCCTGCAAACTGCCTGTTGACCCTGTAAACCCTGTAACCCCCTAAACCCTAAACCCTAAACCCTAAACTTAAACCCTAAACCCTAGCCCTGCAAACCCTGTAAAGCCGAAACCCCCAACGTCTTAGGCGGTCCGTGGTTACCTGGGGAGCGCCGTCCCCTCGGACGTGGTGCTCTACACGACATTGCCCTCCCGAGCGGTTTACGGTTTAGGGTTTAGGGTTAGGGTTTAGGGTTTAGGGTTTGGGGTTTAGGGTTTAGGGTTCAGGGTTCAGGGTTTTGGTTCAGGGTTTGGGTTCATACCGTTTAGGGTTCATAGGGCTTAGGGTTCAAAGGGTTTAGGGAATTGGGGTTCAGGGGGATTTCCACCTTCCCCCAAGTTGGGGGCTGTCGGATGATGACCCCTAAGCCCTGAACCGAAAACCCTGCAAGGCCCAGAAGCCGCTCAGTCAGTAACCCTAAACCCTAAACCCTAAACCCTAAACCCTAAACCCTAAACCCTAAACCCTAAACCCTAAACCCTAAGAGGTTCCCTTCATATGCTCCGAAAATGGCCCTTAGATTCCCTTCGAGGATCTTGAAAAAGGGTCCCCGAACCCACGCGCGCAACCTTAGGGGTTCAAGGGAGAGACCTTCGAAAAGCCCCTAAACCCTAAAACCCCAAACCCGAAACCCCAAACCCTAAACCCGAAACCCTAAACCCCTAAACCCTAAACCCTAAACCCCTAAACCCTAAACCCTAAACCCTAAACCCCCAGGCATGGACTCTGCAGCCTTGTAAGTGGCATCCTCCTCTTGCAGCCGAGCTTCCGCCGGCGGGGCCGCCGAAACGTAACCTTTGTGAGCCCTACACCCTGAAGATGTTCCCCCTTATGTTAGTAGGGTTTAGGGTTAGGGCTAGGGTTTAAGGTTTAGGGTTTAGGGTTTAGGGCTTAATAGGGATCATAGTTGGGAGTTCTAGAACCCCTATTAAGGACTGTTAGTATAAGGGGGAACATCCCAGCCCTGCACTCCTAAGCTCTGAACCCTTCATCGTAAACCCTGAAACCCCCCTAAACCCTATAAAGCCCAGTAAGCCTTTCAAACCCTGTAAGCCCCCTAAACCAGGAGCCCTATATACTCAAAACCCTGCACTGAAACCACGAACCCCAAGCTTAAACCCTAAACCCTAAACCTACCAAACCTAAACCCTAAACCCTAAACCCTATTGTTGAACCCCAAACCCTGGACAAGGTGGGTCTACTTTCGCCTGCTCTGGGCCGGCGGGGTCTACATGGCCGCCTCGAGTGTGGCGGCCTTCCTAGGGAACCAGACCAGTCGGAAGGCACGTGCTCGCGGTTTAGGGTTTGGGGTTTAGGGTTTAGGGTTTGGGGTTTGGGGTTTAGGGTTTAGGGTTTTGGGCCTAGGCAAACATGTATAAATTGCCCTCGCGGTCTTTTTGTTCGGAGAGCCTGAGCACCCGAAATCCTTATACCCGAAATCCTTATAGAGGCTTTGGGGGCATCAGAACTGTAAGCCCAGGTTCCTAGGTGTATGGGGTCTTGGGAAGTTACGTCAGACCCGTGAACCCCAAACCTTAAGTGGCGCAACATCGTAATTCCTAAGCCCTAATGACAGCGGGCTCAGGTTGAACTTCCCTAAACCCTTAAACCCTAAAGCCCTAAAGCCCTCAAACCCTAAAACCCTAAAACTCTAACCCCGAAACCAATGGCTGTCTACCCCATCAGTTTGCTCATGCGTGCGCATTTCCATCAATCTATTCTCGTGCACATATCGAAAGCCAAATAACCCTGGTTGAAGTCTCCTGAACCTCCTAAGCCCTTATCCCTAAACCCTAAACCCTAAACTGCCCCAAGCCCTCAACCCTCAACCCTCAACCCTCATCCGCATCGCAGGTCATGGAGCTGGCGCAGGACACGTGTCGTTTCATCGCGCTCGACAGGGCGAACTGGCTCTGGAAGTTATACATAAGATGCATCTTGAATTTATACTGTAGAGGTAAAAATAACTGCAATTTCAATATTCTAGGAATACCCCATAAATGACCGACGAAACAGGCATACCTGATAGTAACCATAACAGTGACAATGTTGAACAATCAAAGATTAACTGTTTCACAGCTGGTTCGATGTCTATCCAACAAAAGTTTCGCCATTCAGTTCATAATATAGTAGCAGTGACAATAGTAGTAATAATACCTAAGAACCGTCACAAATAACAATAGCAAGAAGAGGGTGACCTTGCAGCCGCCCTTTTCCGCCCTGCTTCAGCTGCATTGATCTTGAAATCAGGTCACGGAGAAGGACATGATGAGCTCTACCCCAGATCCGGCTCTCAAGAGGCTGTCGACGCCCTGCCAGTTGCAAGACATCGACGCCTTCCTCAGCCACAGCTGGCAGGATGCCTGCGGTCGGAAGTGGGAGGCGCTGCAGGCCTGGCGCAGGAAGTTCAAGGCCCAGCATCTGCGCGAGCCTCGCTTGTGGATAGACAAGTACTGCATCGACCAGCAGCTATATCCCCCGTGGGAATTGTTTTGCTATTCTTGGTTTAGATAAAGCCCAAGAGGATGTTAAAGATATCATTTTTATTAAGGTTCTAAGGGGAGTATAGGCAGAACATCGATGACAGTCTCATGTGCCTACCAGTCTTCTTGGCAAGTTGCCATACATTGCTGATCATCGCTGGCGAGACCTACTTTGACCGCTTGTGGTGCATGGAAGCTTGGTCCTGCAGATATGTACGTATATCTTCAGCAGGTGTTCATAAAGGGTCCTACTCAACATTTCCCGGGAGAGGTTTCTAAGGGAAGTTTCATGGTCCCGGAATATGGTCCCTTACCTTCCTTCTTTACAGGGTTCTGAAGTATGGGCCGGGTCTTGCATAAGGGGTCTATAAGGGGTCCTCATTTATAAAGGGCCATACTACGGAACCATTCAACTACCCTTATGAAGTTTTGGTCCCAGTCTAGGAAGAGGTCTTTGTTTATCTGCAGATGGAGCGAAGTGTCACTTCAATCGAGCTCTTGCCCATTTGTCACGGCTTGGAGAGTCACATCACCTCGTTCGACGCGGAGAACGCCCAGTGCCACTCGGAGGTTCGCAACAAGTTTAGGAGCTTAGGGTGTTCCTTCTCCATAGAAGTCCTTAAAACCCCTAAACCACTTAAACCCCCTACGCCATACTCCACATATGACCTTGGTATTTTGCATCTTCCCCTAGTAATGTGGTTCACTGGGATCCTGTTTCGGAAAGTCAGAGAGTTTAGGGTTTAGGGTTCAAGTTTGCACGTTAGCCCTAAGGGTCCATGTACCTAAATAGGGAATACTTGGGCCCTAACCTACTTGCTATTTAGGGAATTTGGGGGCGAAGTATATAATAATAATCGTAGTTAATAATAGTACTAATAGTAAGAAAAGTAAGAAAAGTAATAATAGTAATAATAGTAATAATAGTAATAATAGTAATAATAGTAATAATAGTAATAATAGTAATAATAGTAATAATAGTAATAATAGTCATAATAGTCATAAGAGTAATAAGAGTAATAAGAGTAATAAGAGTAATAAGAGTAATAATAGTAATAATAGATAGTAATGATAGTAATAATTGTAAAAATAGTGATAGTAGTAGTAATCGCAATAATGGTAATAAGAGTAATAATAGTAATACTAGTAATAATAGTAATAATCGTAATCATAGTAATAATAACAATAATAATAGTAATAATAGTAAGGTACCTGGACCCTCAGGGTAGGTGTTACAGGACCAGCCGAGGCCACGACGACCGAGATCGGCAGAAGCTCTTGGCGACTATCGAGGCTGGTTGTGGTGACTTCGAGGCCTTCAACATTCAGGTGCCTTCACTATTTCCTTTTTGGGTATATCTTTAGTTTTTGTTTATATAAAGCCCTTTTACTAAGGTTCTAAGGGGAGTATAGTTCAACATTCAGGTGCAAACGGCTCTCTTGCAGGCTTTAAAGGCCTCCCGCTGGGCACTGCCGGAATAAGAGAGAAATTGCGACGCATCCGGCGTGATTCCTATTGTCTTACCACTATTGTCTTGTGTGCTTAGTCAGAGGTCCATTGTTGGGAGCAGTTGTCTAGGAGTGGGCGGGCTTGCTCGTTCTTGTGTCCTGACTCCGGGTCAGCACGTGGCTAGAGCCTGGAAGTAAGCCTGCTCACTTGCTCCGATGTGATCTCCCGACACGACGGTGCCCACAAGAAGTTTCCTGTCACGTTGAATCGGGCGAACTACGATCCTTAGATGCCCGGGATATAGCGATTCTCTACCATTGTTTGGCAACATGTAAGGGCGCTGAGCACGTTGATTGCAATGCTTTGCACGATCTCGGGGTCTTTTAAGGGCTGCGGACTTTTGCTGCAATGCAGTGTGTGCTTGCTGCTACGAACCTGAAATGCAATATAAAAGTTTCGCAGCTGCAAGCACGTCAGCAAGGCAGACTATCAATGTCTCGGTACCCACTGTGGGAAGTTCTTCGCAAGACGCATCACAGATGCGAGAAGTGATGTGTAGTCCTTGCCCACAGTGGCAGTGCAAATACCCCGGAACACAGTCGCACAAATGTATAGCATCAACGGGGTTCCGAGGGAAGTAATTCAACCGTACCACGAAGAGGCCTGTCATCCTACTGAGGGCATCGTTCGACACTGTTCCCTTGGAGCGCCTTTGATAGTTGCATAGAGATATGTCTGCATAGCGTGGCCAATGTGGGTTGAAGCGTGCAACAGCAACGGCTAGTGGCTCCTTTCGTCCTTCCAAGCCGTGAAATCAGCTGCACTGTAGCTAAATGCAGGAGCCAACATCATGCAACGCTTCCTCCGCTTGACCCCGTGGGCCGTGGGTACAAATCTCGCGCCTCCCCAGCTTTTCAAAAGCCCAGCGAGGGCGGCGCGGTAACCGTCGTGGCGCCCATCTCTGGCTTCAGTGAACGTGATGGACCCTTCTCGGAGCAACTCCAGGGTTTCCGCAGCTTGGAGGGCTTGCGACCATCAGATCCTTGTGCTGCTCCGACAATCTCCGACAGGCCTCTCAGGCCTGGAAGGCTCCTCTCTGAGTTGCTGGATTCCATAAGGAGCAGAACTACGAGAGGGGTGATAGATCTGGCCGGCTAAGGCTTTCCTAAGCCCCTTAACTTAAGGGTTGTTAACTTGGTTTCTTGTGGTTGCGGCTTGGAATCACAGCAGCTCCCGTGTCTTGTTTTGGCATTTTGCATGAAGAAATCCACGCTTCGGCTGTGGGAATGTCTCCACTGGCGGGAGGCAACTCTATTTCAGGAAAAGGGGCGGTGCTTATCCCTACACCTCCAGTTATGTAGTGGACCCTGGTACCCTATAGTCTACCTACTACTACTTGTGGTAGATAACCGGAGGCTTGGGGGGTTGAGAAGAGGCACAATGAAGGTGCGTGCTTCGCCCTGGCCTACTGCGAACCCCCAGAGGTAGCTGTCTGGGGGTGAGCGTTGCCGAGTATTCGATGTGCAAGGGTGAAGGGGGGTAGCTATATTCTCCTTTTTCATTGTTTATGTTTATATAGAACCCAAGAGGGTGTTAAACATGATATTTTTTGTTAAGGTTCTAAGGGGGGTATAGGTGGAGAGTGAAGAGTTGTAGAGTTGTTTGTACAGGTATACTTCTAAATCGCTTGTGTTAAGACCCCATGAACACGGTATGGGACGACCGATGTAGCACGTGAAGTCCACATCTTTACATCTGGGGGTTGTTCTACATTAGGATCCCTTCCCTTTATCATAGAACCAAAGGACCCCAAAGGAAACAGCGTGGCCGAACTACGAACAACCCCCACCTACTCAGTCTCACATACCATACCTCGAGAAGACGAGCGGGAACCAGAAAGATGGAACAGGGCGCTTGGGCATGGGGTTTCGGGGGTCGAGTTCGCTTTTTCGGGTTCGGAGTTTAGGGTTCGGCCTATTCAAGGTTACGACTGAGGTTGTTCCCAGTTTAGTGTGTAGAGTGTAGAGCCTACGTATTTGAGGTTATGATTAAGGTTGTTTGGGGTTTTGTGTGTAGGGTTTGACTGTTTGAGGTTCACAGCCCAGTACCCTCCCAGGTGTCCGACGCGCTGCTGGCATCATTGCGGGAGTGGCGGGGTGTCGAGGCTCAGGCCACTTGACCAATGCATCAGACTCTTAGACCCTCAAGGGTTTAGGAGTAAGTGTGACGTAGCATAGACGCAGAGACTGTCAAGAGGCCTGTGTGGTAACGACTTTGTGGCCTAAGCTGTTCTCTATGTTCCCTCTGAGGGTACGTGGATCCTTTGTGCTTGCATGTTGAGTTGCAGGTTACAGATCACGGTTTCCGGGGACTTGAAGTCGCAAGGTGGTGGAACAAAATGCCTGACACCAACAGCCGCGCTCATACCATGCATTTCTTAAGCCCCAAGCCAAACCCTATAGACCCTAAACCCTGCCTATATGTATATATATATATATACATATATATATATATACATATTGAGGGTTTAGGGTGTTAGGGTTTTAGGGTTTAGGGTTATGGAGACCCAGTTGCAGGTCCACCTCTCCTACTTCGGTCACTGGGCCTGGTGTCAAAACGTGAACAACTGCCAGGAGATGGGACTGGTCGAGGGTTCAGGGTTTGGTTGTTGTTAGGGTTCAGGGTTCAGGGTTCAAAATTTAAGGTGTAGGGTTAAGTCGACCCTAAACCCTAAACCCTAGACCCTAGCCGTCTTATTCTTGTGTTCCTTAGAATCGTAATTTCAGTTAGGTACCGTATCAGTTCATGGTCAAAAGGTTTACAGTTTCGTTTAGGGCCCATAGGGGCCTAAGAGGGCACATGAAGTATGGACACGCGAAGTGGCCCTAAACCCTGAACCCTAAACCCTAAACCCTAAACCCTATCTCCTTAAACAAACTGCCAGGAGCCCCTGGCCCTGATGTTCCGGGAGTATCAGCAGGATTGGGCCGAGTCTGACGACCAGCTCAATGAGGTGACTCGGTAACTGAATGAGTACAATTTTCAGTTTCGGGTTTTGGTTATAGGGTTTATAGGGTTTATAGGGTTTATTAAAGGGTTTAAAGGGTTTATAGGGTTTATAGGGTTTATAGGGTTTATAGGGTTTATAGGGTTTAGGGTTTAGGGTTTAGGGTTTACAGTTTTGGGTTTAGGGTATAGAGTTTAGGGTAGCTGGATGAGTACACTTTACAGGTTGCGGGATGCTAGAATCCCCTACAGAATTCCCCTGAGGGTCCATGTACCTTTATGAGTGTATACTTGGCCCCCCGAATTCCCTATATAGCAAGTACTTGGAGGCCCAAGTATTCCCTATTCAGGTACATGGACCCTTAGGGGAACTAAACCCTAAACCCAAAACCCTTAACCCTTAACCCTAAACCCTACAATTCCCTTTTGAACTGAAAGTGTACACTTCTGGGGGCTCTATGAACTCAGCACCTAAGGCGAACTACCAGCTGCTTGTGGAGCGGTTCCTGCGCTGCTGGAAAGGAACTTTCCATTTTTGCGGAAGAAGTTGGGGGGGGGGGTACCTTCTTGCGGTTCCTCACATAGGGCCTAGGGCTTAGGGTTTGGGGTTCAGGGTTTAGGGTTTAGGGTTGAGGGTTTAGGGTTTAGGGTTTAGGGTTTAGTTCGGGTGGGTTATGATTATTTTTTTTTTTTTTTGGGGGGGGGGGGGGGGGGGGGGGGGAGGGGGTTCTGAGTGTTCCTGAACCGAAGGTTGCGCAGCTACCTGCACGAAGGAAGCTCCGAGCTGATTCGGGCGGATCTGATCCTCTGCACCTTGGGGTCGAAATGAGCCCTAACAGTATATATGGTTCACATCCCCGAATGTTTAGGGTTTAGGGTTTAGGGTTTAGGGTTTAGGGTTTAGGGCTTCTCGCCGCGCCGCGGCAGTAGATGTCATGCGGAGATGGCGCCCCAACACACCCAGGGGGTGTGAGGGGGCGGCATATGTTGCGGCGGCGTATAATGAAGTTGGAGCCACCGCAACCAGAAAGGTTGGGCTGTTCTATTTTTCCCACCCCCTGCTTACGCAGGCATCCACCCAACTTTTTCCCTTTTAGGGTTTCAGGCTAATGCCCTAAATTCCCACTTCCCACCCCCGTCCTTCGAATGGGGGGGGGGGGGAGGGAGATTTTTCGTGTTTTAGCCTTTAAGGGAAGATGGGTTTCTCGGTCCTGGCACAGGTCTTCCCATCCTTAGTGACCAATGGGTCTCCCAGAGCAATGCGGCAGATCGAGGCACAGTAGACATGAATGGCATTTCACTCCCCATTCATCGAGCTTCTTGTGGAGGTCGTAGAGTTGATGCTCCGGCTTGTTGCCTCTCCCGGTCGGATATTGGCCAGGGGTCAGGGGCCCAGGCACCCTAGAAAAGGGTGGGTACGACCTGGGAATTTAGGGTTTCGGGTTTAGGGTTTAGGCTGTAGGGTTTAGGGTTTAGGGATTCTAGTAGTATAAGGTATACATGATGCCAATCTTTTTGGGGGGGGTTCAATCTGGGTCCCTAACAGGCACACGGCCTTTTCTCTTCTGCTGGCTGCTGCGGACTCTCTGGCCCGAGCCATATACCCAACTGCCCATGCTCCACTACTACAGCGGCCCCCTGCTTTTTGACACCACGCCGTCCCAGATGCTTGGGGTAGCCCAGTGGTACCCTTTTCCGTTTCTGTTTTGGTTCACGGGTCCCATGTATAAAGTAACAACCCAAAAAAAGGTGCCCTTGTTAGAATATGTTTACTGGGCTACTAAGGATGGACGTCGTCCTACAGGCTTTCCGGCAGACCGTGCTGTCTTCCACATTGGATCTGGTGGCATCTCGGCAAGGAAACTTCTTCAAGCGTAGGGATTCAGGCTGATTTTGGGGTTTCCGAAATTGGGGGTACCTTATTGGGTCCTTATTATAAGGGAGTCCTACTATTAGGGCGTCTTTATTGGGGTCCCCCTATTTTCGTAAACCCCCATGTTGCATGTGTGTGCGTGTGTGTGTGTGTGTGTGTGTGTTTGTGTGTGTGTGTGTGTGTGTGTGGGTGGCAGTTTTGTGTCCTTGAACTGTTGCCACTGCACCTTAAGGTCTCATCCTCTGCGTTGCAAAGCGCCTGGATGCTGGCGATGGCCACTTGTCTGGGGGCAGACTTTTGACTCAGAGACGCTTATGCCCTTATGATCGCATAACCTGAACTCCCTGAATGGGTACATGTAGCCGTATACTGGGTGATACAGAGATCGTAAAGGGACTGAAGATCACGTGACCGTAAGAGGCTCTTCCGGGCCCAAGCACTCCCTAAAACATGTCTGTGTTGTAAAATATACACTGTAATTGCGCAAAAATAATATAAGTAACCGAAAAAAAGCCAAAGTCTGGACCTGTAAACCCTAAACGGGGTTTTGTTGCGATCCGTCTCCTGCGACACGAACACGCCACGCGGAGGTGCGTCCAAGTGGCGTTGTTAGCCCTGTGCTGTCCCATGGCCCAGAGGTCCTTATAGCTGCTCTTGTAGGGCAAACCCTAAACCCTAAACCCTAAACCCTAAACCCTAAACCCTAATTTTTGGGTTTTGGGGGTTCATGATGCAGAGCTGGGCATGGTGTTCGACTTAGAGAGAGAATCGTGATTTGCGGTGTGTACCCGAAAGGATCCAGGTTCCTTTTTGATGCTCTGCATCAGCTATCACATTTCTTCTGTGGCGGTTAGGGCTTGGGGCTTAGAGCCCAACACTCCAAGCGCCACAGACTACATGTGTAGGGCGACGGCCCCTGACATCCTGAAAATACCAGCGCAAAAAGGCTTAGGTCAGTCGGACCAAACCCTAAACCCTAAACCCTAAGGGTCAAACTCAGTCAGAGCCCGAAGCCTCTTCGGAGACTTCCCAACCCTCACCCAACAAAACCCCCCCACACTACCGCCTCTCCCACCCAAACCCTTCCCCCGAACCCTAAACCCTAAACCGTAAACCCTAAACCCCAAACCCTAAACCCTAAACCCTAAGCCCTAACCCTAAACCCTCCAGGCCGGTACGGTCGTGCCCCACGTGCGTCCGCACGCCGTGGGACTCAGGGGCCTCTATCGGCCACCTGAGGCTGAGGCAGCCACCATGGGTTTAGGGTTTAGGGTTTAGGGTTTAGGGTTTAGGGTTTAGGGTTTAGGGTTTAGGGTTCATCTTGGTAGCCCAGTGATGCCCCTTACCCTTCTTCTGGTTCTGGGTGACCTTATAAAGCAACCAACCCCCAAAATAAGGGCATCCTCATTATAAGATCGCTGCGGGGCTACTATGTTACAGAGATTGGGGATGATCAGTTATCTTAAATTGTAGAGTTTAGGGGTGCTTCGGACATGTTTCTTTGATTTCTCGTTCCCTCCGGAGCCCTGTACGTATAGCTCATGGGAGTCATATTGTTCTAGCGCCCCCAAAAATGAATACCCGGTAGTTCTGGGTTCAAGGGCTTGTGAAGTTTCTAATCTATATATATATATGTATATACATATACATATGTATATGGGGTCGGAGGAATTACGAATGGTATTCCCTTATGATACTACAATCTCCCCCAAAATCCTGTTCTAATTATTTAGGCCCCTACATTAGTTGGGTTTTGGGTCTTAGGGCTTGGGGCTTTGCTTGATAGGTCTCGAGGCTCTAGCGCTTTGGATGCTTCGAGGGTTTAAGGGGGAATGGGTAGGTTCAGGGTTCAGGGTTCAGGGTTATCAGGGTTCCGGGTTTAGGGTTTAGGGTTCAGGGTTTAGGGTTTTGGCCTTCTAGATGGGCCAGGCGAAGCACCTGGCCCTGCGCGCGCTGGTCTTGCGCAGCACCTGGGCTGCTCGGCTCCAGCAGGGTCTAGGGTTTAGGGTTTAGGGTTTAGGGTTTAGGGCTTAGGGCTTAGGGTTTAGGGTTTAGGGTTCAGGGTTTAGTCTAGGACAGTTTCAGGTGGATAGTTTCCCTCAAAAGAGTCATACAAGTGGTTATGTAGCCCTTATGCTGTTTTTAAGAAGGGTATGCGCAGCCACTACGCTTAAGGGTTTGGGGTCCGACATATCGTAGTAGTCCCAAGAACGGGCCCTGGTTGAGAGAGAACCCCAGATGCCTTAACACGGACAATGTAGCTTGGTACTTGGCTTTCTTCTGGCTGGCTCTTAGGACTTTAGCCATTCGGGTTTTTGTAGAAACGACCATAAGGAGCCTAAAAGATCAACTTTTAGGAGGGGTTCAGAAGTCGGTCAAAGGTACATGATGCCAGTTTTCGATTCCATGAGGGGTCGGCTCTTGGTAGTTCTCCTCCGGATCGCGTTTAGGTTTAGGGTTTAGGGTTTTAGGGTTTTGGGTTTTAGGGTTTTAGGGTTTTAGGGTTTTACGGTTTTAGGGTTTTAGGGTTTTAGTGTTTTAGGGTTTTGGGGTTTTGGGGTTTTGGGGTTTTGGGGTTTTGGGGTTTTGGGGTTTTGGGGTTTTGGGGTTTTGGGGCTTTGGGCTTTTGGGGTTTTGGGGTTTTAGGGTTTAAGGGTTTAGGGGTTTAGGGGTTTAGGGGTTCAGGGGTTCAGGGTTTAGGGTATAGGGGTTTAGACTAGAACCCTTACGTGCAGCCATGGGCGCACTCCGCCAGAGCTCCTCCTGGATTTCAGTGCTGAATGATTTTGCTGACAATTATAGGGTTTAGGATTTAGGGTTTAAGGTTTAGGGTTTAGGGGTTTGTATAGCGGTTCTTCTTCATAGGGTGTGGGGAAACCTGAAGAATCCTGCCTTCGGGCGCACGCCCTGCCACCAAAGCACACACAGACACACATTTGCCAACTCGCCAGCCACTTCTAAACCCTAAACCCTAAACCCTAAACCCTAAACCCTCTAAGGTTGGGACTTTGATGGCCCAAGCCTTTCAAAACGTCCTGACAGAGATCACTCGCGAGAGCTCATTGGATGGCTCACTTCGCTTGGAGCCTTTGTCCAACCACCACGCCCTCTGTTCCGGATGGGCTATTCTACCTTGGGATGTTCCCCCTTAAACTAACGGTAACAGTCCTTAATATAGGGGTACTATAATCCCTATCAAGGACTGTTAGTAAGGGGGAACACCCCAAAATCTTATTCCCTATAACCCCTCAAAAAAGCCCTTTATAGGGTTGGTTTTTGCGGACGATCAGGTCCAACAGCCCATCCTGGTTCTTGTGCTCCACTGATCTCCGCTACGTCGATCTTCATAGCTTTTGCTTTGTGCTATCTGCTACTTCTATCGATCTATCTATGCAGTTATAGACAGAAGCTTGTGTACGTTGCGTGCAATGCAGCATGTGGAACCGCACATATTCGTATGTACGAGCACATGAGTCAAGAAAGCCACAAACGAAGCGCAGTGGCTCTCGCCTAGGCGCGGGCTGTCCCTCTATCATCCCTAAACCCTAAACCCTAAACCCTAAACCCTAAACCCTAAGCCCTAAACCCTAAACCCTAAACTCCCCAACGGTCCAGGGCCCAGGTTTTACCGAAGGCGGCCCAGCAGTTCGGAAACACATAGCAAAGCCGTACGGCTTTCAGACAACTGCTGCTTGCCAGTGACACTCTATCTCTCTCTCTGTCTCGCTTTCTACCGGTTTAGGGTTTGTTTTGGGTTTTGGGTTTAGGCGGTTTAGGGTCTAGGGTAGCGAGTATTGTGTTTCAGCTTGATCCAAAAGAGCACAAACAGAAGGCATAGCAAGGCGACTTGGCATGTGATGTTGGACATGGAAGGAGTGGCTTTCCTCTGGAAAGTTTCTCTCGTATGAGGCCGGGCATCATGGGGTTTTCGAAATTCCCTCATGTGTTGCGTCTGACTGTGCTCATTGCACGCTTCTCGGAGCGACTTCTACTGTAGCATCTTCTAGTATCTCGTTTCGCCACTTAAAGGAATGGGATACATTGGTTCAGGAGCCAGGGCATGATCCGAGTTTTACCCACTTGTGCTTTCGCATGCGTGAGAATGTAGGCCAGGCAAGGGGCACTGCTTGACCCAGCCCAAACCCGGTTGTCACAGGCCAAGTTGTTCAGACGAGCTTGGCGACATGAAGTGGCGTTGTTCTATTTTGGTGGTTTTGGAACCGTTGTTCTATCTTGGTGGTTTTGGGACAGAAAGTTCAAACCCCAGTAGAACCGCCGCCAGAAGGCTGTAGCACATTGCCTGAGCTTCGGGGACCGCACGTTCTATCCTGGCTCCTTTCGTACAACCTTAAGCTGTGTGATGCCGCAGGAAATCGCATCCTTCCATGCTGCCGTATTCTTCCCGGAACAGCCAGACAAGCTTACGCACCCTGGTGGCCGAAGGATGTGGGTTGCACGCCCTTCTCATTGCTGAAGCTTTGAACACTATAAAACGATGGCCGGTCGCAGAATTACAGAGGGGGTAACAAAAAAACAAAGAAACATAACACAAGCTATGATGGCCATGCTCCAAGGGGAGTACAGTGATGTAGTGAACGTGCAGGCCTCAAAACCGAAGGTCTTTTGCTCAGACACTAGCCGCAGCCCTAAACCGTAAACCTGACCTAAACCCTAAACCCAAAGCCCTATTTCGCCGTAAAGCCTAAACCCTAGTGACAGCAGGTTCTGGGAGCAGTATGAGATGGCGATGCCGCTTTGGCTGCCCACAGCAGACCTTTGGACGAAGATCCACGCCATCGGCGAGTTTCGCTACTCCGACGCTTCGTCTGGCTCGGCGTTTAGGTTTTAGGGCTTCGAGCGTTTCAGGTTTAGGGTTTAGAGTTGGGGGGGGGGGGGGGGGTCAGGCCAGGGCTTTTACATTTTAGGGTTTGGGTGTCACTATAGAGCTTCTACCTCCCAAACCGCTTTGTCTGCATAGAGGCCTTATAGGGTTTCTGGCCACAATTTCAAACTAGGGGCCAATGTGACTTGAATGGGTGCCTTGATGTGCCTGGGCATAGGTCTCATTTGCATATTTCGGAGTTTGGAGGTGATGATATTAGTAATCTTAGTGCTGCAAAGGACCCTCAATTTCTTTGGGTACAAGAAGAATTCTCAACTGAACCGAAAAAACCCGAAGACCCCTAAACCCGCAGCCTTGAACAGACAACCATCATGAAACCCGAAAGCCTAAAACCCCTGAATCCCCAAGGGGTACTTGGGAGGTGTAGGCAGGGTTCATTTTTGGGTTTCGGGTTTGGTTTGGGTTGTGGGGTTTCGTGTTTTGGACTAGCTTATTATCTACTCTCTGGTACGCTGCTGAAGCTAAGCACCCTCGCACCCAATACCAAAACCCCTGTAGCCCCAAAAGCCCTCTGAAATCCTGAGCCCTAAGCCCTAAACACTAAACCCTACACCCTAAACTCTCAACCCTAAACCCTAAACTCTAAACCCTAAACCCTAAACCCTAAACCCTAAACCCAACTTCGATCCGAAGTCCTGCATCCAGGTCTTCGCTGCGCGCTGGCGCGCAGCTCTGCCTGCGGGCGAGGCCGCTGCCATCGGCTGTGGGCTGCCGCAGCCGCCGGGTTGGTTTAGGGTTTAGGGGCTTCATGCGTATACTTGTCAAGGATTTGAGGGTTGTTTCAAAACTTCAGGTCCGCTTGGGGGGATCGTGAGTTGGGCCCCGACCCTACACCTTAGTTTCTGGTGGATAGCCGGGAATGAGGGAATTAGGGCCCTACAAATATACATATATATATATATATGTATATAGATATATATGTTTCAGGGTATACCCTTCAAGGGATTATTCAGGGTCCCTCATTCCCCCATTCCCTACGAACCAACAGTAAGCTTATCAGCCTAACGTGCGGCTCCAGAAGCAGACCCCAAACTCAACCCCAAAACTTGGGACTGTTATCCCAACCCCAAGCCGCAAACCCCCAAACCCCCCCCCCCCCCCCCCCCTGCAGCCACTTTGTGTTTTTTCCGCCTTGGGCCAAAGACGGGTCTGCATGGTGGTTTCCGAAATTAGGGGTACCTTATTGGGGTCCTTGTTCTAAAGGAATCCTACTATTTGGGGGGTCTATTGTAAGGATCCCCCTATTTTCGTAAACCCCCACACTGCTTGTATTGACGACTGACGGGTGTGCATGATGCAGGGTTTTGAAGGTTTGGAATCTGGGGGTCCTTCTTCTGCTCTGTTTGGGAATCCCCCATGCTATACCCTCACCCCACCCCCCCCACCCCCACCCCGCCCCTAAACCCCAAACCCTTGCACAAACCCTATAATACTATAGCGTGTACCCTAAAAACCCTAAGTCCTAAACCCTGCAACCCCAAACAAATTCCAAAAATTCCAAAATTTCCCAGGACCTTGAAAACCCTAAGCCCGAAAGCGCTATGAGGCCTCAAACCACCCGTAAACCGCCTCAACCCCCAAAACCCCAAAAATGGGGGCGGGGGGGCAGTACTGGGGGTGGAGGAAAAGGGCACTGACACTGCACCATTTTGAGGGCGGTTTATGGTTAACCAGAAATAGGACTTAGTAGCTGAATGAGTACACTCTACACGTTTTGGGATACTAGAACCGAAAGTGCACACTAATGTTTTGAGACTCATGAACTCAGCAACTAAGAGGAAAACCCAGTATGTTTTTCGGTCCTGGTCTTCGTTGCGAATTAACATCCTAGCTTGGGATGTTCCCTCTTGTTACTAAGAGTCCAAACTAGGGATTATAGTACCCCCTATTATACTCCCTATTAAGGACTGTTAGTATAAGGGGGAACATCCCGGATCCCAGCAGTAATGCTGTCTCCTCGTAATGCAGCTACACTATACTGTAGCTTGGCGCGCGGCGTTTCTACACGTCCTGTGTAAGGCTGCCCATATCGCACCTCACTCATTCCCACGTCAAGTAGCCTCCGTGAGACATGGAGCAATTCCCCGTTGGCCCTCCGTGAAAGCATTCGAATGATGCCCACAAGTGACTTACATCGACTCGGATGGTTGTGTTTGTTTCCTACAGTACCCTAAACGCTTTCCTCACCCCGAAACCCTAAACCAAAACATTAAAACCCTAAATCCTAAACCCAAACACCCTAAACAGCAGACACAATGCTGAGGCCGCTCTTCTTCAAGTCGACTGTTGCTTGCATGAATTCAGCTCACAGCGCGCTTTGCCTTGCCACTGCAGGTCGTCGTAGGACCTATTTCGGGTTCAGGAGGTTCATAGGGTTTCAAGGTTGAAAGCTTAGGGGGGTTATATAATTTCAGGGTATATGGTAAGACTATGTCAAGACCGAGCTCACTTGTCACTCACTCGAAGTGGGAGCTCAGTGCTTCACATGGCGCGATCTCCCTCAACAGATGTCATTTGGCGTAAGTTCTGAAGACAGGTTAAGGTGCACCCTTGGATGGCACCCGTATACATGTACCATGGCACTATGATACCGTGAACATACGCTCAGTCACACTTGTCCGTCCCTTGCTTGGGAAGCACTTCCGGCCTAAGTAGCTTGGGCCATGTGCCAGCAGTCATGCCAGCTGGGTCTCCTCGTACACCAGCGACGCTGGCGTCGTTTGCCAAAAGTCGCACAGCTACCGCGAATCGAATCGATGACGAGGTGGACGTGATGTGCCTCTGCTTGACAAGGGATCATGTCATAGTTCGAAGGACTTGATCGCATGTTGGTTTAGCCGTTCAGAGGCAAGCTGATGATGCATTTTCGTGCCCAGTAGACCCTAAAGCCCGAAACCTAGAACTGAGCCGTTGATATATCGGGCTATCCGCAATTTCAATCAGGTCGGAATCTAAGTCCATTCTCCAGACCTTTCTTTATCGTTGAGGTGGGGCATGGCGGGGCGCTCGTGGGGCCCCACGCCGGCTAAGAACAAGAAGAAGAGAAGAAGAGGAGAATAATGATAAGAAGACGAAGAAGAAGAAAACGTGTGGGAGGGCAGATAGCTGCCCCCCCTCATGCCTGACAGATGTGAGAAATCAAGAGTCTATTGTAGGCAGTTCGGGAATCCTGGAATCCCGAAACCCTCTGAAGTCCCTCCGCTGCCAGGCACTCTGTGTCAGAGAATATGAGAGCGAGCCGCTCTGTGATGGGCAGTATGGTCAAGGTGCAGTCTCAGAAAGCCCCGCGTCGGCAGATTCCTTTGTGGATGCGATGGCGGAAGTTCTGGGGCGTTGTTGCCATGATTGTGGCCATTGTAGGAGTGAGCATCTACAACCTGAACGCTTCAGATGCTTCACTGCTACATCATGCGCGTCAGTCAGTCCGGTACCTTGCGACGTCGCATGCTGGTGAGATCACCCGACAAATTCGGACCTCTGTGAGTTCTCTGAAACTTGGTAGCCCAGTTGGTACCCTTTACCCTTTTTTTTTGGACATGGGTTCCCTTATAAAGTAGCCAACCTGCCCTTAATATGAGATGGTTACTGGACTACTAAGGAAAGCACTCGAAGCCATTGTCATAGCAGATGCCTCTGACTCTGTCCTTGCGGAGTTTGATGTGCTAGCGGACACCTTGATCAAAACCTACCAGGGCATATCAAACCTCCAGGTAGCGCCATTTGGCACAATCCGACGCATCTACCCTCTGGTGGATCCAACACAAGACAACCGCGGAGCATTGAATCATGCGCTGCTTCTGGATCCAGGCCGGAAGGGGGGTGCTGTCGCAGCGATACGATCGAGAGAGACGACTGTAGCTGGCCCGCTGAGACTACTTCAAGGCGGCGTGGCCGCAATTGCGCGTCGCCCAATCTTTTCCCGCAGAGCCCCGCAGTATTTGCCGGATGAGTGGTTTGAAGTTGATGGCGTGAATCACAGCAGAATCTGCTCCGTACCAGAGCTCCGCATTGAGGACGAGTGCTCGTATCCAGGGCCTCTTGATGGTACTGGTCAGCAAACATATTTCTGGGGATTTGTGACTATGTTGACACGCATGGAAGACGTCCTTGCAACGACTCACCTCTCTACTCTGGAGTCAGGGGAGCAGGGAGGTGTAGCTGGCATCACCCAGTTTGCCTATGAGCTCTCAGATTCAGACCCACACCCTTCACTGGCAGATGTGGGCGGCATATGGCAGCGCTCCTCGAACACGGATGCGCTGAGCGACTCAGTCATCGTGGACGTGGCTGTGGAAGAGTTCGGGTTTCGCTGGATCCTAAAGGTCGCACCGATGGAAGGGTGGCCGGTGGTGTCAGAAGATTTCTGGAGGCTGCTGAAGGATGTGCCGAAATTTCGGACATGAGTAGATTCCTTCAACTTTTCCGGAAGGACGATGGTCTGCCAGTAAGGGAAGAGTACCGTTGCTTTGCACATCAAGCCGCAAAAGCTTAGGCCCTGTTGTACCCCCCCCCCCCCCCCCCCCCCCTCAAAAAAACCCTCCTAACGCGAACCCTCAGCCCGAGCCCTTCGGCTCAAAATAGCTGAAAAACGAGATAAGAGTCCTTCGAGCCTTCTTATTATTATAAATCCCTAAAGGCAGCTCCTCCTTGTGCTGCCCCTGACTGCGCTGCTGGGTGTGTTTCTCGGGGTCAACATCATCGTCACGCTCCGCCGTCGTGCGAGGACGCTGGCCGGCGGTTAAGAAACGGATAAGCAGAGAGAAATGTGTGTTGTGTCGCTGCTGTGTTCTTGTTTCTTGCTTGCGTGCTCAGACATGTATACTAGCCCGGTATTTAGGCAAAGACTTTCTAATGCAAGGCAGACGTCTGTTCGTGCATTTGTGCATCATCAGTCTGCTGCCCACTGCAGATTACAGTTTAGTCTTTGCAGGTTCTTCTGGTTTTGGAAAATTCAGCGGGTTGCCCTTGCAAGTCTAGTCATCGGGGAGATCCTGGTTGAAGATGATGCAGGATGGTTGCGGCTTCCCCGCCCCGAAATTCCAATACCCTCAACTTAACGGAATTGTCCGTAAATCATGTTCGGAGAAAGAAGATGGCTCTACCACTGGATATTGGAGCCTGAAGTTGAGGAGGGAAGGGTTTTGCTTCGCCAAGAAGCGCAGAGGCGTAGCGGGGTGTAGGGTTTCACGGGTCTTTAGGGTTTATGGTTTAGGGTTTAGGGTTAAACCCCGACAGGGTTCTCCGGCTGTGTGAAGTTGTCACATAGGGCACTGAATTCGGCTGCCAGGCTGGCTAACGCCTTGACCCTCCCTAAAATCATAGGGATACCTTATTGGGGTCCTGATGACAAGGGAATCCTACTATTTGGGGGTCCAGATTTTTGGGTCCCCCACTTTCGTAAACTCCCATGTGGAGTCGAGGATGATAGAGGACTTGGCCAAGTACATGGTTGACCAGAAAACCGAGATTATCCGAAGTGCCGTTGGCAGCTTGAACACCTTTCAGTTTCCGATGCGCCTTGCCTGTGCTGAGTTTAGGGTTTAGGGTTTAATTGTTTAAGGTTTAATTGTTTAGGGTTTAGGGTTTAGGGTTTAGGGTTTAGGGTTTAGGGTTTAGGGGTCTTGCTGGTTCTTGGTTATGGATTGTGGGAATGGGTACCCTGTACAGTCTCTGAAAGGTTCCATCAGGGGATATAAGGCATTTCCCCAGTTCCGTACGAAGAACTAGCAAGTCTTGCTATTTGGTACTTGATTTGAAAAAAGCCAACAATCAGTTGCAGACTGTTTGCAACTCTGGTTCCGCGCCTTGTTTCGTGGCCCCCAACGGTTATAAAAACGTGGAGCCGCACGTCACCACAGTATCCACACCAACCTGCACCACCGCCACCGCCACCGCAACAACGCCACCAACGCCGCAGCCGCCACCAACAAGAGTAAGGACTACGACGGCGACCACAACGAAAAATCACAAACCCAACGCATCAAGTAAACCACAACAACTCCAGGTCTTTTGCCATTATTTCTGGCAATCGCAATCCCAAGCAATAGGGTTTAAGGCTTACTTCCAGAGCAATCCTCAGGAAACTTCCCAACATCGTGGACCCACGTCCTAAATCCTGTGGCAACATTAAATATTAGCACCGGCCGCAGTGAACCCGAGGACCTATACTATATGATAACCATAGAGGACATTACGAGACAACCCCCCCTAAACCGAGAGTTGTGCAGGTGGTTGGCGGTGGAGGGAAAACCCTAAACCCTAAACCCTAAACCCTAAACCCTAAACCCTAAACCCTAAACCCTAAACCCTAAACCCTAAACCCTAAACCCTAAACCCTAAGCCGAGGTACCTCGTGGAGTTGGGTGACTTCTTGACCATGAGCCGGCTGATCGCCCACGAGGCGGCCAGGGATGCCATGAAGCTCCGGTGCTTCGACCGGCCGCAGGACGTCGCAAGCTTGGCGGCGCCCCTGACACGGTTTAGGGTTTAGGGTTTAAGGTTTAGGGCTTAGGGCTTTGGGGTTTGTTCACCCCCCTCCCCCCCCCTCACCCCTCTCCTCAAAGTTGCATGGTCACGGAACCCTAGTTCAATCAGCTATGTTTTGAGATGGCTTTTTTTTAGGGGGCATAGGGTCTGAGTTTTGAATTGAAAAAGGCAAAGCTGCATAGCTCTAATACAGGGGTCGGGATAATTACAAATAGTATTCCCTCATGGTTCCTCCACCAATGTACTATAATACCCTCCCAAAACCTTATTCTAATTCTTAAGGCCCCTATATTAGGGGCTAACCCCTAAACCCTAAACCCCAAACCCCAAAACCCAAACCCCAAACCCAAAACCCCAAACCCCAAACCCCAAAACACAAACCCCAAACCCTAAACCCTAAACCGTAAACCCTAAACCCCAAACCCTAAACCCTTAACCCTATTCTTAAGGCCCCCTATTTTAGGCGCTGTCCGGAGTGCTCTTCGTAAGTCACCAGTGGGCCGGCTTCGACCACCCGGACCCCGACAACGTTCAATATGGGGCCATCTTGGTGCCTTGGCGGCTAGGGTTTAGGGTTTAGGGTTTAGGGTTTAGGGTTTAGGGTTTAGGGCTTAGGGCTTAGGGCTTAGGGCTTAGGGCTTAGGGCTTAGGGCTTAGGGCTTAGGGCTTAGGGCTTAGGGCTGCCCTTTTGCCCCCTTTTTTGGGGGGTTACTAAAGGCAACCAACCCCCAAAGGCAAAGGGTACCCTTATTATTATGAGATGGCTGCTGGGCTTCTAAGGTGGCGATTCACGAATTGCAGGAGAAGCTTGGCCCTAAACCCTTGTGCCCTTTTTGTGTATTGGGTTGCTTTGTAGTAACACTGTGATAACCAGCACCAAAGAAGGGTACCCCTCAATGGACTACCAAGGAAGGGTCTCAAATGCGGGTACATCTGGGTGGACTACATCTCCATCCCCCAGGCAAACGCCTTTCAGCAGCAGGCAGCGATCAACTCCTTGGCGGTGTCTTGGTAGCCCAGCGGTGCCCTTTTCCCTTTTTTTGCTTCAAGGTTCCCTTATAAGTAACCAACCCCAAAACGGGTGCCCTAAACCCTACACCCTAAACCTTAAACATTAAGCCCGAAACCCTAAACCCTAAACCCTTACTGGGCGACCCAGGTGTATGCATCCGTGTGCTCTTCGCTGGTCTCCGTGGCTCCCAAGTGCACCCATGCAGACACCGGAGCCGAGCTCGACGTACATTCCTACTCTTCACGAGGATGGTGCCTTTGTGTGGCAGGGGGGGGGGGGTAGGGTTTAGGGTTTAGGGTGTAGGGTGTAGGGTGTAGAGTGTTTAGGGGTTCAGGGGTTTAGGTTTTTTTGGGCTTTAGGGGTTTATGGGCTATGTTGTGCGGGTAAGGACGGAAAAGTGCAGTTATCCCAAACCCTAAGACCTACCTAAAGGCTCCTGTGGTAGAAACTTATCAGGGCGGTATATTGGAATCTTTACAACTAACCTAAGGCACTACACTAGAGCACGCTAAACCCTAAACCCTAAACCCTAAACCCTAAACCCTAAACCCTAAACCCTAAACCCTAGACCCTAGACCCTAGACCCTAGACCCTAGACCCTAGACCCTAGACCCTAGACCCTAGACCTAGACCTAGATCTAGACCCCAAAAGCCAGCAACCGAGGTGCCGCCTTGAACTCCTCAGCTTCAAGACCGGCGCCTGCGATGCAGACGAACAGGTGCGAGCAGTCCCTTGGTAGCCCAGTGGTACCCTTATAAAGGGTTTAGGGTGTAGGGTTTAGGGTTTAGGGTTTAGGGTTTAGGGTTCCCTTGTAAAGTAACCAACCCCAAAAAGGGTGCCCTTACTATGAGATGGTTGCTGGCTACCAAGGTCCATATATGCGATGGGAACCCAGGATGCTCAGTAGTATCCTCTCTTTTTTTGTGTTACGGGTGGCTCCAATGAAGATCCTTTGTAAGACTACCTACAAGCCCCCCAAACTGCCCAAGTGCTGCCTTTTTTTGGTAGCACTTTGGGCTGGATATACTTTTTTTCTGCCAGGTTGCGGGCAACCTAGGCAGACTCTCATCAGCGACGGCGACTCAAGCAGCGCACTCTCAGATGAGTCGATCCTCAACGTGCTCGGGGGCACCTTTACCTGCTGTAGCCGCTGCCATCCCGGCGACATGCCCTGTGACCGCCACAAGACCCGGGATGTCTTGCTGGGCATCTTGGTAGCTTCTTGGGTACCCCCTTTTTCAAGGAATTTTTTTTTTTTTTTGGGGGGGGGGGGGGGGGATGTTATACGAAATCGGGGGCTGGCCCCCCAATATTGTGACAAAAAACCACAATGAGGTATCCCGAATATCGTAAACCCGCCATGTGATTGGAACTACCCAGCACCCAAAAGAGTACCCTTAGTATGGTTGCTGGGCTACAAAGGCATCTACTGGCGCTTGCTGGCGACAAGAAGGGACGGGGACATACAAAGCGTGATGTGGGCAGATCGAGTTCTGCAGATTGTGAACGCAGAGCCCGAAAAGTACTTCCCGAGCTACAACCAGTACAGCACACTAAGTGGCGACGAATCTCAAGAGCACTTCGATGGGTACCTTCCGATCTTGCAGAAGATGTTTGAGAAGGATACCAAGCTTGAGCACAGTCGGCGGCTGCAGGTGTTTGGCCGCAGCAGTAAAAAGACAATGTTCATGTTGTAAAGTTGTTCTCAGCAGCAGTGGTGTTTTGGAATGCGCTCGCAGATTTTCCTTGCGTGGATTGGAGCGCACGCGGAACTCCGTTCAAGCAAGATCTAATCAGTTTCACACTGGATTGAGGACTGTCGTTTTGGGGCTTCTGCTTCCTAAGTTCATCTCGTCTGAGTAGTGATGAATTCAATTCCAGTAATTAGCCCATGGCACAGGGTCCTTACAAGAGGCCTCGTGGCAGAAGCCGAGTCATCAAGCAAATGAGTCATGAGGAAGGACGCTGCTTGCGAGATCCTGGGGGCAAGCATGGCGTCCGTTGCAATTTCTTGGCTTGCTTTTCTTCCCAACCCTTTTGCGAGCCGGAACTGTTTTTTCCCCTGCTACTGGGCTGGACTCATGGTCTCAGCCGCAAGTCCCGTCGTGCCTGTATCTGCCTGTGGGCTTGTCACTTGCCAGTTTCTTTTTCAAGGTCAGCACCCTGTCCCTCTGAGGATTTTCCACTCTGGGGGGTACCCTTTTAGGGAGGGTTTCCTATACCAGTGCCCTGGCTAGTAATTCGTCCGACCCCGAAATCTTCTTATTCTAAAAATTCAAATTCAGACCCCTAAACGGGGGGGGGTACCCCTTTCTTGGGAAACACCCGGGGAAATACCCAGGGGCTCGGTGCAGAGAGAGAGAGAGGGAGCAGCTACAGCTGCCCGTATGAACCAGCATGCGAAGCATTGCTGTGATGCCATTACCTGGGTGTTTGGTGTTTAGGGTTAGGGTTTAGGGTTTAGGGTTTAGGGCTTAGGGTTTAGGGTTTAGGGTTTAGGGTTTCGGGTTTCGGGTTTCGGGTTTCGGGTTTCGGGTTTCGGGTTTCGGGTTCAGGTAGGTTCTATGCGGTGATGGAGACCTGCAAGGCCCATCCGAAGTTCAGGTCGACCCTTCCATGGCTGTTCATCTTACTTCACCTTTAGGTGAACTTTAAACTTTTTGGGTTTCCTTATTTAGTAGAAACATTAAAGTTTAACCTTTTTTTTCACCTTGGTTATTGGAGAAGTAAGTCATGGTTGGGCACTTGCTGCTGCAGCCAAGTTGCACTCCGTACAAGCCAGGACCCAAAGAGCCCAGTACCCCTCAATTGAGGAATGTACCTTAATCCAAATTCAGGATCCCTAGGATCCCTGTATAAATTCAGGCAAATTCCTGAATTTAAGGGGTGTTGGGCTCTTTGGGGAACGATTCACCATGCCGCAAAGTTATGAAAACATCCGTGGGCCCTTCGTTAAGAGACCTCAGCGGTAATGTGCAGCATCGAGTGACGATGTTTTCTCCAAGGATGCCACGGACATCCACGCTGACTCCCCTCTTGCTCCAGCTTTCTGGCGGCCCATCTGCAACAGAACCTAAACCCTAGTACCCGAAGCGCTAAACCCTAAACCCTGAACCGTCCTTCTTGTTCAACGGGCCTCCCCGCCCCAAAGCAAGCCCCCCAGGACTAGGAACAAGACTTGGGATGTGCCCCCATTATACTAACAGCCGTTAGGGTTTTTCTAGGGTTTAGGGTTCAGGGCTTAATCGGGAATATAATAGGGGGGGTACTATAATGCCTTTGAAGGACTGTTAGTAAAAGGGGGAACATCCCAAGACGAGACTATCTTACTGGTTCTTCTGTAGAAAATGGTGTTCAGGGAATTAGCTACCCGATGCAATCTCTTAAGAGCTATATCTAATTCCCTACTCTAAGAACTAGTAAGTTATGGCAGGGAAGGAATTTAGAATTGATATTGACACACACACACACAGAGACACACCCCTCATAGCCCACTTTTTGTGTTATTGCATGAATTAGATAAGTGCTCGCCCTACATAACCTCGGAGCCAGTGTAGGCCCTTTTCCCTTTTAGTAGGGTCTTGGTTCCCTTGGAGGCCCCTTCAAACCAAGAAGGGCACTTATTGCTAGCTTACTCCTGGGTCTAACAATTTTAAGTTGAGGATTTCTGCATAAGTCGCATTCTAAAAGGTTGAGGCTCAAAGTTCTACAGTTTCAAGTCTCCCAAGTTGCAAGCCCCAAGAATCCACAAAGCATCAGCCCAGAATTTCCAAACTTCTAAAACAAAGTTGGCCCTGAGTTCCAGACTTTCACAAAAATGGAGTTTTGGAATCTTGGCTATAGAAATTTTGGAACTTGGATTTTGCAATGTGGAATGTCGGTAACTCCACGGCATTCCTAGGCCCAGATTAGCAGGAGGAGGCCGATCCATTTAAGTGTTCAGTGCACAAACGAAACAACCAGTAGTATTACAAACTAGCTCTGCTTTTTCTGAGGAGGAATGCGAACAATTTTTTCAGCTAATGGCATGAGCAAAGCTGCCTGTTTTTTTCATGCATCAGTAACAATGTCTTCAAATTGTATGAGACTACCCTCAGGCTAGTAGCTTGATATCAAGAACTGGCAGCATACTGAGGAGGAAGGCTATTCATGTGAGGGCTCATTGCACCAGCTAAACTACGAATATGATGAAAGAACCAAAACCTAGTTCAAGCCTGCAACTCCACAACGCCCGGGGGGGGGGGAGGCGTTACCATGTACACAAATATTATATGTATATACCCATACATGGCCTATGGCAATGAACAGAAGAACATGTATGCATAACTTAGAAGCTTGCAAGTTGTAGCACGCCATATAACTTATCTTAAGCGGTACACAATCCAAGAATGTCCTCAAATATGTGCACAAGCTCATCAATCGGTTGAGGTGGAAAGTCCGAACCCTAAACCCTAAACCCTGAAACCCTAAACCCTAAACCCTAAACCCTGAACCCTAAACCCTAAACCCCAGAATCTGAAGGTTCCAGCTCACCGACTACGCCTTGTTCCCTCACCTTCAGCTCTTCACCTCGGCATCGGAATTGGTGTCTGGTTTGTGCCTGGGCTGGGTTTAGGATTAGGGCTGAGGGTTGAGGGTTGAGGGTTGAGGGTTTAGGGTTTAGGGTTACGAGAGCTTGTGACTTCAGAGGCTGATGACTTGGAGGTTTGGGATGGTAAGGTCTAATGTTAGTTCGTCCCTGCCCCCCCCCCCCCCCTTTGCCCTAAAGGGGGGGGGGGGGACCTTTATGACATTGTAGGCTAGGCAAAGAGATTTCACTTCATACATTTAAAAATGACAATCGCGATCGCCATGCTGATGCTAACCAGAGTAATGAGAGCAATGACAGCCATGATTACGACGCCAGTAAAGACAAACAGCGAGAAGAATCAAGTTCATGACAAGAATAATCGTCATAGTAGCGACTGCTGTTGTGACTCTTCTTCTTTTCTCTATCAGAACTTCTTGTTACTATTCTTGTCCACCCTAAACCCTGAACACTATGCCATAAACAACGGTCGAAGGGCTGCGAGTTGTCGTTCGGACCCAAGCGGACCTGAACCGCACGTCTGCCCACCCTCGAAAACCGCCAAAGATCACGCTCCCAGAGTAGGGTTTAGGGTTTAATTAGGGTTTAGGGAGTTCAGGGATGCTACACATCGGTGCTCTTGCCTATTTTGAATACAGAAATGCTGCTTTGATTTAGTGCACCGTTTGCTGTGGAGGATGTTGTGCAGGGCCTCTTGGGAGCAAGAAGCTCCGCCGGATGCTGATGTGTTTGTGGGCGCATTTAGGGTTTAGGGTTTTTCGGGCTGAGGGTTTTTGCTCCGTTTGACTTGAGTCAGTTGCTTAGGGGGGGAAGCAGAACATTGGACAAATTGTGCTTCAACCCAAACCCTAAGCCCTTTTCATTGGGCCTTGAATCCAAAACGTATGTATGTAAGTATGTATGTATGTATTCATCTGCCCATATATTCATCCACCCATCCATCCATACAGGTGGATCTTGGGCCTATAAACCCATCTTGTAACCCTCCTCCGTTACTCTATATGGGGGTTCACGATATTAGGGGGTACCTTATTGGGGTCCTGATTATAAGGGATTCTTACTATTTGGGGGTCTATATTCAGGAAAACCCTAAACCCTACACCCTAAACCCTAAACCCTAAACCCTAAACCCTATTTTCGTAAATACCCATAGGGGCAGCCTGAAGCCCCTGGCCGTCTCAGGCTGGGGGCGGATTTGACCGCCCTTCACCGGGCCATGGCGTGGAAGCCCAGGGAATTTCAGGGTTTAGGGCTTAGGGCTTAGGGGTTTAGGGGTTTAGGGGTTTAGGGTTTAGGGGTTAGGGGTTTAGTGGTTTAGGGCTTAGGGTTTAGGGGTTTAGGGGTTTAGGGGTTTAGGGGTTTAGGGGTTTAGGGGTTTAGGGGTTTAGGGGTTTAGGGGTTTAGGGGTTAGGGTTTAGGGGTTAGGGTGTAGGGGTTTAGGGGTTTAGGGGTTTAGGGGTTTAGGGGTTTAGGGGTTTAGGGGTTCAGGGGTTCAGGGATTTAAGGTTTAGGGTTTGGTGTTTTTTCTGAGGGTCGACAACACTAAAGTCGGTGCCAGCTTCAGGGGTTTAGGGTTTTGGGTTGGTGGGTGAGTCTTCAGGACAGAGTCGAACCGACCCACAACCATGTCCGGAATCCCACGCCCTAAACCACTGAACCGTAAACCCTAAACCCTAAACCCTAAACCCCAGGCGGAGTTCAACGCCGCCTCTTGGCGCCGTTCTTCGGACTTCTACCGCGCAGCGTCCTCTGGCTTGGCCATGTACCCTTCACAAACCCTAAACCCTAAACCCTAAACCCTAAACCCTAAACGCTTCAGTGTGGTGTTTTAAGTCACTCGTGGCCGGGAAGATACGAGGAGTTTAAACCCTGAAAAGGGCCAATCAATTTTTTTGAGCTGTGGCGGGAGGGAACGAGTCCCGCGCCAGATACCCGATTCTGAGAGCCTGTAAGCGCGTTAAGCGGCTGGAATTCCCCCAGCCTTGTGTCCTAAACCCTGATTTTAACGCTGGGGGGAGGATTTGGAGGGGGGGGTGCCTGTTCTCACAACCTAGACACCTTCGGCCCGAGGCCTCGGCGGATTTAGATGTCAGGATTGTGGGGTAAAGTTTAGGGCAACCCTAAACCCTAGACCTTAAGCCCTAAACCCTAAACCCTAAACCCTAGGGGCTATAAATGTTATTGTAGCCAAGGATCTGCTCCTTGCTGGAGGGTTCCGAGATGGCCCTCACACCCCAGTTCTTGCCACAACCACTTCGAGCAGAAGACTGGGCCAACGTTTGCCGTACCTCTGCTCCTGAGAAAAAGCTGCGTGGGTATCGGAGGCTTAAACCCGAAGGCCCTCAAACTCTGCTGTAGATAGGCCTAAGAGTAACGGCAGATGGCCTACAACCTTGATGCTACTGCATGGGTTGTGGGGCCTGAACCCTACACCCTCAACCCTAAACCCGTTTCTCATGTCCGGTAAACTAGTGGAGGTTGCAGCTCTAGTTAGGAATGAAAAAGGTGCGGTCGTATAAACTCAGGAAAGGGTTGATTCAGCATTGACCTGCTATGCCCCGGCCTGGAGCAAAAATTTACATGGCCAAGGGATACTGGGAGGCGGATGGGTACTTATATCCCAATTAGAACTGTACTTCTAACCTGCTACACTTATAATCGGGGTTGTACGTACCCATGAAGCTCCAAGTAGGACCAAGGGAAGCAGAATCTATAGCCGGCCAGGCATCGAGCTTGCCAAAACCGTCTGCATCGCCGTCCACCCCAACAGAATCAAACATCATCAGCTGCCACATCCCCAAAACTCTTGGGTGCAGGAGAGTTGTCCAAGATGTGGTCGGGGTATGTTGGGATTGTGATGCCAGGTGTCCTGCGGTACCCTCCCTAAACCCTAAACATCCCTGAACCTTAAACCCTAAGCCCTAAACCCTAAACCCCAAACCCTTCGATCTGGACAGGGCGCCCTCAACGATCCCCCGGAGTGCGCCCATGTCACGGACTTCTGGACCAGCCATCATGAGTGCGTCGGGACCTCATTGAATTCGGGATTAGGGTTTAGGGTTTAGGGTTTAGGGTTTTGGGATTGGGGAAATTGCGGGGTGTCCCTGTGCCCCGTGCCCAAACAGCCCGAACCATGGTTGGGAGACCCGAAACCCTAAACCCTAAACCCTAAACCCTAAACCCTAAACCCTAAACCCTAAGCCCTAAGCCCTAAGCCCTAAGCCCTAAGCCCTAAGCCCTAACCCTGAACCCTGAACCCTGAACCCTAAACCCTAAACCCTAAACCCTAACCCTAAACCCTAAACCTTCATGAATGTTTAGTAAACTCGGCTCCACACCTCAGAAGGTGGCTATTGGATACAAAGTGTTCGCCTTAGGTGCAGCCGGTGGTCAAGGTCAAAGTCAACCACTTCGCGCAGGAGTTGGTGTGCATGCAGTCGGAAGCTTCAAGCTGTGCTAACCTTTCAATCGGGGTTCCGGGCTTAGGGTTTAGGCTTAGGGGTTTGAGGTTTAGGGCCCGACTTGCATGTCCCCAAGTACCCATATGTCATCTCCAAGGGGCTGTGGGCGGGGTCTAGGTAAGCCTCAAGCCCTGACCTCCAAGTCCTAAACCTAAACTCCAGACCCAACACCCAAACCCCGAACCCCCGAAACCCCCCGAACCCCCGAACACCCAAGCACCCAAACCCCAAACACCATCAACCCCAAGCCCCAAACACCATCAACCCCAAGCCCTCAGACTCTGCACGTCTCATGACCTTGATCTTGGAGCGCCAAGGCTTGCCTTGAGCCTTCTACGTAGGGTTTAGGGCATTTAGGGTTTAGGGTTTAGGGCTTGGGGTTTAGGGTTTAGGGTTTAGGGTTTAGGGTTTAGGGTGCCCGGAAACGTGCCTCAAGACGAGGGGACGCCTTTGCCACGATTTATAGGTAAAGGGGTACGAAGGGCGCCAAATAAGCTAAAGCAGAAATTATGCTACCCTGAAACCCTAAACCCGAAATGCCCTCAACCCTAATATGCAGTTTACACACCCCGAAGAAGGTATTAGCCCCTGCTTGACATGCTTGGCAATACTATGGGTTTCACTTCGGAATCCATGGGCTTGGGGCTGAAACACAGGACTGCTGGGATCGCTGCGAGACGGGGGGCGACTGTGCTTGGTGTGGTTTTGGCCACGCTTGCTGCCGCATACTCAGCCAATGACCGTGAGTATCGCAACCCTGAGCCCTAAACCCGAGACCCTGAACCCTAAACCCTAAACCCTAAATTCTGAGCCGGAGGTGAACGAGAACACCTGAAGTTCCCACCTCCTTCTTGCCCGACTGGTTCTCAGCATGGAGTTTGAGAGTTGGGGTTCGAGTGTAGAGTTTGTTAGCATCTTCAAAGATTACCGTAATGTATGTTAAACCTTCAGACCGCAAACCCGAAACCCCAATCCCCTACATACCCCATGAACGATAGTGGCTTGCCTGCAGGCCGAAAGAACAGCACAATTGATCCGCCAGAGTGCCACTTGGCGAACTGCGCCGGCAGTGCTCTGGGCGTTTGTCTACCCAAAGAACCCCTGCACCTTAGGGTTTAGGGTTTAGGGTTTAGGGTTCTGGGGTGTAGAGGCATGTAGGGTTCGGGTTTTAGAGTGTGGGAACCTCAGGCCCCTGGTTCTTAGCAGGGAATGAGGGATTAGGGCCTTGTATATTCCCTTTAAGGCAGTATACAGGGTGCCTCATTTCCCGGTAAGAACCACCCAGTAAGGGTCCATGGCACCCATACAGCCGATGCTCCCCAGGCCGAAAAAGTCTTCCCAGACCTGAAGGATTGAGGGCTCTTTGCCTGTTTTGCCCGACACCCTGAACCCCTGAACTCCTAAACCCCAAACCCTAAATCCTAAACCCTAAACCCTAAACCCCAACCCTCCCCCCGCCCCAACCTCCCGACGTATTGCGTCTTCTGGTAGAGGTGGCGGAGTGGTCGACTGGCCCACAGATCGCAAGTGCCCCAGATCTGCCTTGAAAGCTGAGCCATTGTTAGGGTTTAGGGTTTAGGGTTCAGGGTTCAGGGTTCAAGGTTTAGGGTTTAGGGTTTCGGGTTGCGGTGTAGGGTTTAGGGTTGAAGGGTGTTTTGGGTTTGGGGTCTTCACGGCTCCTTCTCCAGCAAACTGCAACAAGCGCCACTGAGCTTGAGGGCTGGGGTGAGATGACAAACAAAAATCTGAGACTCCTCTAGCCTTTGAACCCTAAGCCCTCAGGTTTAATGAGCTTTAAACCCCTACACCCTAACCCCTAAGCCTTAAGCCCTAAACCCTAAGCCCTAAACCCCCTACAGCTTGAACCCTAAACCGCTGACCCAATTCGCGAAACTCGGCTGGGATCTTCACCATTAGAGGCCTCAGTGCGTATCTCCCAAGCAGGAACTCGCAAAGGTTGTAGTTTTGCGCCACACTTTAGGGTTTAGAATTTAGGGGTTAGGGGTAAAATCTCGAGAAGGAGAAGACAGAGAACCCTGAACCCTAAGCTACCCAGGTCACCACACCTGCGTCAAGTCAGTGCGTCACGTGCCCGTCAAGCACGAGGGGCAGGACCCAGCGATTTTCACGGATCCTTTACCCACGCTTTAACTAGCCCCCCCCCCCCAAAAAATCATCCCAAATATCCTTTCAAATAAGCCTTACTTCGGCCTTAAGAAAAGCTGGAGGGGTAGCAAGGGATGCCTCATGGTGGTTGGGCTGTAGGGTGGGATGCAGGGCAGTGTAGGGAAACTCAGGGTCTCGGGCTCACTGCGGTTGAGTTTGAGTTTTTCAAGTTTGTGCAGTGGGTGTTCTGCTAGATGCGCGTTGGATGCCCTGGGTTGAGCCAAGTTCCCTGTGAAAGTCTCTACGGCCTAACCTTGGGTGCTCAGTAGGCAACCGTTGATAAACTTCCTCAACACACAAGGTTACCCTTTGCCCCCCCTTAGTACGGCTTAGGCTGAACCCTAGACCGAGCATCTTGAGGCAAGCACGACCTATGACGATCATATTGTGGCGATTCTGCGATGCTTTACGTTAGTGGTTTCCCTAGCTTAGGGTCGAGTTTTGTGGAGTTTATAATCGGGTTTAACGCAGCAGCATTTGACGGAACGGTTCCCGTGAGTTTGTGACTCAGGGATTAGTTAGGGCCCTCCTGGATGCCTAGTTTCACCCTGATTCTCTCTTAGTAAGGTTTAGGGGGTTTAGGGGGTTTAGGGGGTTTAGGGGGTTTAGGGGGTTTAGGGGGTTTAGGGTTCTCCTGGTCCCCTTCTATGTCGGGTTTTTGGGATTTAGAGTTACCCCAGTAATCAGAAAGGTAAAGGGCGCCTCATCTTTACTTTTCATTTCCTGGAGAGCTTTGGCGCTGTGAACCGTATGGACCCTGGAGGCCCCTGAACCCTTGTTCTACCTGGTTTCAGTCCATAAACCCACTAGGAACCTAAGACTCTTCAAGCCAAACGAATCTCGGCCGGCGTGACAGGATTGCTACGATTTCTGCAAAGGGGCGGGGCTCTGCAACTGGTGCTGACCTCGGAGGTTTACGGTTCGGGGGGGGGGGGGGTAGCACTAGGGTATCACATTCAGTCAGGGCATTCGGTGTTGGGGAATGTTAGCCCCCTGGGTGCCTTAAGGTTTTGGCTTCAGGGTTTAGGGTTTAGGGTTTAGGGTTTAGGGTTTAGGGTTTAGGGTTTAGGGTTTAGGGTTTAGGGCTCACATCGAAAACCTTAGCTTTGCCTTCTCGAGCATCGGTAAACCCTACATGGGTAGTCGGGGAAGGCTTTGGACACTGCTCTCATTTCGGATCCCCCAACTCCAACAGCCCTAATCCCTAAACACGGTGCTCATAAACCCTCAACCCTAAACCTAAGCCCTAAACCCTAAAGCCGAAACCCTATTGGGTTTTGCAGGTGTGGTCACGGCATGGCCTGCTGCAAGTATGGAGATATCTACTCTCCGAACGAGTGTCGTGCAGTGGTCCCTGGGCGTTTCAGAGAATTGGGGTTCAGGGTTTAGGGTTTAGGGTTTAGGGTTCAGGGTTTAGGGTTTGGGTTGCAATTTTGGGTGGGGCGTGCTGGGCTTGATTTGGACATCACGCGCAGTATCTGTAGCATACGGCCCCTTATGGCCCATAGACGTTTTGATTTCAACCCTTTAAGCCCTCAGCCCTTATCAACCCTACCAAGTCCATCCTAGATGGGGCCCAGCTAGGAAGCCACAAAACAAAAGCCGCCTCTGCTGAAGAAGAAGCAAGGAGTTTTGCCCTTTAGGCTTCTGGATGTAGGGTGCGGGTCAGGCTTTGGTTACATTAGTGTTAGCCCTAAACCCTTATCCCTAGAAGCCCTTCCGATACTTGGAGGGCCTGCTGACTTGGCAAGTGGTTCAAAGCAGGGGTAGAAGTACCCCAAACAGGCCCTAATTGGGGTCATCCTACTTAGTATCCCACTTACTAGTCCCCTGATCCCCCAAGTAGGCCCTACACCCTGAAGCACAAAACAAAAAGCATGTGGGAGTGGATGTGGATGATCCAGAAAACCTTAAACTTCCAGTTTAGAGTCCTTGATGTCCCTGCAACCCTGCACCCTATGAACCCGAAACCGAAGCTCCGCATAGCTGAGGTCTACTATTCCGCGCGGGAGCCTTTCGGCAGAACAGCCTTGGGGAAGTTTTACGCATTTAGGGGGCAGGCATCCCTCACAGACCCCTTTAAACAGGAAAATCGGGGCACCTTGTGTTAAAAGCCCCTAAACCCGAAAACTTTAATCAAACCCCTAATTACACCCTATTTACCTAGTTAAACCCGAGGCCCTACTTGAAACCCTAATTAAGCCCAAAATAATCCCGAGCCCAAATTTAATTAACCCCCAAACAAAGCCCCGCAGTCCCACCACAAAGCACCCTCTAATTAGACCCTAATTAAACCCTAATACGCCCCAATTCAACCCTCAAAACTAACCCTATGAAGCCCCAAACCCCGAATTCTGAACCCCTCTTAAAGAAAGCCCCAAAACGCAGAGCATTTAACCCTAATTAAACCCCAATAAAACCTTATGAAGCCCTAAGAAACCTTGTTCGGCCTTATCAAACCTGATCAAACCTTACAGACCCCGATTGAAACCCCCCCTAAGGAAGCCCCTCCAAAACGCGAAGCAGAGGCACAACTAAATCCTAACCCTAAACCCCAAACCCCAAACCCCAAACCCCAAACCCCAAACCCCAAACCCCAAACCCCAAACCCCAAACCCCAAACCCCAAACCCTAAACCCTAAACCCTAAACCCTAAACCCTAAACCCTAAACCCTAAACCCTAAACCCTAAACGCGAAGCAGAGGCACCACGTCTGCGTGCAGCCCAGCTTCGAACAGCCGGTCTCCTTGCCGGCTTGGAAGAGGCGGGCGCGGGCGAATTGTCAAAGGGTTCGTGGGGTTTGGGTTTAGGGTTTAGGGACTAGGGTCTAGGGTTTAGGGGGAGTTTCTGACAATTCCGGCGGGGTGGCTAGACTTCCACCTTGTAGGCCGGAAGAGCTGCCGGATGACTGCCCCGATGGCTACTCTCCAGGCTCTGCGAGACATGGCAGTGGGTTTGCGCCGCCCTAAACCCGAACCCTAAACCCTAAACCACATGGTGGTTTCCGAAAATCGGAGTACCCTTTGTGCGGGGTCCCTTTAAGGGGATTCTATTCTCTTTCGGGGTACAAAAGGGGTATCCCTATTTTGGGGAATACCCACATGAATACAGGAGCCTAATAAAGGGGTCGGAGCAATGGCCAATACTATTCCCTTATGGCCCCAAAAGAATAATACTGCCAGAAACCCCATTCTAATCATTAAGACCCCTACATTAAGGAAGTTAACATGTGGTCCCTTACCTTCTTTAAAGGGTTCTTAAGTATGGACCCTTGGGTCCGGTGATACCGGAATTAGGGGCCCGTATTAAGGGACCATGAAACTACCCTAAGGCAACTGCCAGTGTATGTTGGCCGCTTGCAGCCCCATTAGAGTCATACTCTTAAACTATAGACTACCCCAAACGCCGATGATATTTCAACAAGCCTCTACTTTACAGCTGCAAGAGCTCTCTTTTCCCTATACCACTGGTTGTCTCTACATCAGAAGAACGCTGTCCATATTCCGCTCCTAGCGGGGTTTGATGTAAGTTCTGGGAGCCTGTTGGTACCCAAAGCTATAAGCAAAATACTATAACAGGCAAAAAAGACCCATAGTGTACAACAACACCCATGCGGAATGAAATAGGGGGATGGTTTCTGTGCAGAGCCGCGCAAGGCGTAGGTTGATGTACCTGTTCTTGGAATTCTTCGGACCGTGCCTAACTCCAACACACTCTTGCCGGTGCAATGAACTGCCAGTGTAGGCTGGCTTAAGGTTGATAAAGGAACCTTATACCTAATTACCAGGGTCCTTATATTCCTTTTGCATTCCTACTATTTTCTTGAGGTTCCCTGTTTAGGGGTTCCCATCACGATCCTTTTAGTTTAGGGTTTCGGGTTTGGGGTTTAGGGTTTCGGGTTTAGGGTTTAGGGTTTCGGGTTTCGGGTTTCGGGTTCAGGGTTTGGGGTTCAGGGTTTAGGGTAGGATGTAGGGGATGGCCGGCCCAGGGCCCCTGGGCTGTGTTCTCAACGACGGCCCACGGCTGCAGACTTTTTATGTCTACAGGCAGGACCCAGCCGTAAACCCGAAACCCGAAACCCGAAACCCTAAACCCTAAACCCTAAACCCTCACCACATTCTCCCACCACATGATGGTCCTTTTGTCAGTCCTGTGTTACCGCAGCACGTTGTACAAAGGCGGGCAATGGGCGCGCGCGGTGTTCAGACAACTACCCGTGTAGTGTTGGTGTGCGTGCTTGAACGAAGTTCCGTTGGAGTCAGGTCATGCACGGGTTGTTCGAACTCATGGCCTTTTTGGGGGCTGTTGAGGTATCCGAAATGTACAGGCCACCAACAGCGACTCCCTTTGGGGACTAGGTTACCAGGCCCGCAAGCAGCCACGGCTTGCTTATTCTAAGGGAATCGATGTGAGCTGTGACCCTCCACCGCAAACTTGCAATTAGATCAGACCAAGTGTGGACTTTAACGACTGGTAGGGGTTGATCCTGGACAGCTCCAGCACATTGCGACGAGTTGAGAAAGCCCAACTGCATGATGCAAGAGTGAAGTGCCCTCTAGTTAAGCCCACTGCCGTTCTTCACCGCCGGCCAGGGCATTGGACGACGAAGAGAATCGCACCTCCAACTTCAACGCCATGAGCCTGAGCGACGCAGCAGCAATTAGGGTCACAGTTTAGGGTTTAGGGTTTAGGGTTATTTGGGATGCAGCGTCGAAGATCTTTCAGGTCGGGGTGGGCGGGTCGCAATTCTGTTGGCCCAGAAGCAGCTATGAGATGTGCAGGGCCCTCACACAGACTCACACAGGGTGCCTGCAGTCCTGCAGTGGCGAGGTTTAGGTTCCCATGAGAGTAAGGGCCGTCTGAGGTCCCTCAGCAATCCCAAAAGCCATGAGTTGGCTGGCTCTTAGTAGGTAATGAGGGAATGAGGTGCCCTACATAATCCCCTAAACCCTAAACCCTAAACCCTAAACCCTAAACCCTAAACCCTAAACCCTAGTATGTATAGGGCCCTAATTCCCTCCCACTAAGAACCAGGGGGATGATCATGTCACCGCGCCCTGTTCCAGAGTTGTCTTCGCATCGGGGTTTTGGGTTTAGGGTTTTGGGTTTAGGGTCTTTAGGACCTTAGGGTTCAGGGTTTAGGGTTTAGGGTTTAGGGTTAGGGTTTAGGGTTATTGATTTAGGGTTTCGGGTTTGGAAGGGTCTGTTCCAAGAAGCACTTGCATTGGCATCAGGTTGGCATTGCTTCCACGTTCAGCACCGACTCTTGCCCCATCAGCGTAGGTGGCCTCCTGTACTACGTGCACACCAGTGTACTGGGCTGCCCTCGAGCCAACGGGATCACAAGGTGCCTGCCCCAAACCCCTAAGCTTCCCGGTTGTTGCAGCTTTCGGGCTTTGGGATGTAAGGTCTGCGTGGTTAAACCCCGAGCTCTTTCCATAGGTACATCGGCGTACCTACCCACAGGCCGCAGAAGAGCTTTCAATTTTTAGGGAGTTCTGTCTCAGTTGTAGCAGGGTTTTAGGCCGCATAGGATGTATAGGCTCTACGAGAGCCAGGCTCAACGCTGAAACATTTGACAGGAACTGGACACCGGCACACAGGAATCACAAGTAGCTGCAGGATGTTTGCCTCTGCGCACAAGTCGTGTAGGTTTAATGTGGGGATCGGGATTCAGGGTTTTATAGCAACTAGGGCTCAGGGATCGTCCATCTTCTCATATGGGTTTATAGCAAGTTGTCTTCAAAAGCGCTCGAGAAGCGCGCCAACGCGTGGCATCCCTGCAGACCGGAACAAATGATCACAAACGCTGAACCCCTGCAACTCGCGATACAAAGCTTACTGTTGAATTTGTTTTAAGTAGGGAATGAGGAATCAGGTACTTCATATTTCCCTGAAATAGACCCTTATAAAAAAAAGCTGTGTAAGGGACCGACTTCCTTCATTCCAAAAAAACCGAAGAAGACCACGCCTGGTGTAAGAACCTCAAGAAGAGTAAACCTGAACCCTCAACCACCCCTGAAAGGTAATTTAGGGGTTTAGGCTTTCGAGCCCAATGCCCGCCTGGCTTTGAACATCCCCGAAAACAGCCCTTTGTCTGGGTTTCGTGCGGGACCCTCAATCCATGGAAGCATGATTCATAGGGCGGGACCTTGAAGGCCTTCTTGTTGAAGGAAGCGGTTTAGGGGTTCAGGGGTTCAGGGGTTTAAGGTTTAGGGTTTAGGGTTTAGGGTTTAGAGTTTAGGGTTTAGGGTTTAGGGTTTAGGGACCCTGAACGCTGACCCGTGAACCCGAAAGCCTAAAGAACCCAAATCCTAAATGCGTCGGAGTCAGGATCAAGCGACTCCTTGTCACCGTCAAGAACACTCAGGAAGTTTACAGGTGCGCCACTGAAGCCTTAAACCCTCCTGAAGCCCTAAACCCTAAGCCCTAAGCCCTGAATTCAACCAGCATTCAACTCTTGAAGGATTCTAGGCCCCCGGGTTCTGAGGTGGAGTGTTTGAGGGAACCATTGGGCATTAGGGTTTAGGGTTTAGGGTCTTGTGCCAAGGTGGAAATGCTCGGCTTTCGGGTGTGGGGTGCGGGGCTGTAGGGTTCAAGACTTGGGAGACATTTGGGTGGGGTCTATAGGGTTGAGCACCAACTAGCAGCTGCTTCTGAGGACTACCATTGCCTCGACTCACCCTGATGGGAACTCCTAAATGAGGCCCACAACCCTAGTTAACGTCTAGGCCCCAAACTGAACCAGACCCTCCTTGCGAAGCAGTAAACCTTAAACCCTAGAGCCCAAAGAGGACAGACCTTAAGCTGCTCCGAGCTAGAAGATACTGCAAGTGGGGGCACTTTCTTGCTATACTTTCAGGGATATACTTGGGACCTAACTGCTGTTGCAGTTGAAACTAGGGCGGGACCCCGAGACCCACTATGGATGGATCTGAAATCCTGCAGCTCCCATGTTTCTCCTACCCCCCCTCCTCTAGTTCCGAAGCCTGTGCACCGAAACCCTAAACCCTAAACCCTAAACCCTAAACCCCAAACCCTAACCCTAAACCTTAAACCCTCCGGCAGGAAGTACGAGAGGCAGTTCGCACCGCTCCTGTCTTTCCGGAGCCGCGCCATCTCTCGGGTTTTGTAGCTGGCAAGCTCTGGGCACAGGGTATTTAGGGTTTAGGGTTAGGAGGTTGCAGGAGTTAGCTCAAAGGGCTGCATGCCGGATTTGGGTTGGTTTCTTTGGGGAACATTGCCGCGAAACGCCGAAGCTGCCACAACATGAGCTGGGCCCAGCGCGGTTCCATGTGCACCTGAATGCACTGCGTGGATGAGAGCCAGTTGGGGTCAAGCTGGGCACGATTCGGGCCATGGAACCCCAGAAAATTGAACACTGGCTGTAGAGCATCTGTCACCAAGACTGTCAAAGGTAAAGGTGCCGGCAGTTGACAAACACATCTTCATGAATCATGCTACGTACATGTAATGCTCATGGCGCTTATGTTTATTCCAAGCATTATCAACGCTGTCCGTACTTGCTACCGCAGTACGTCGTAGGTTGCCTCAAGCACCGTCCTCGCTTCGCATAGGTTCGGCCAGGGCTCCTGTCTGAAATCATGCTGGCGCCCTCCCGACACTCGATGCGCTCTTCTGTCCGAGAGCCTCCAGTCGTGGGCCACGCGAGTCGGAGGAGCTCCACCATACACTCCAGATGCTGGGGCCGAACTCATGTGGACAGAGAGAAGTTTAAACCAAGGCCCTAAAAACCCTAAACCCTAAACCCTAAACCCTAAACCCTAAACCCTAACCCTAACCCTTGTAAACCCTCAAGGACTTGAAGTGGTGAGCCCCCCACACCTCAGGGGTTCGCTGCAAGCTGGGCCCTGCACTCTCGAACCCTAAACCCTAAACCCTAAACCCTAAACCCTAAACCCTAAACCCTAAACCCTACACCCTGAACCCTGAACCCTGAACCCTGAACCCTGAACCCTGAACCCTGAACCCTAAACCCGAACCCTAAACCCTACCTGGGACCCTCTCTACCTCCTGCGTGATGGGTTATACCTAGAAATGAAGGGTAGCTACCACTAAAACTGTAGGTAAATAGCATCCCTAAACCCTATTCCCTAAACCCTAAACCCTAAACCCTAAACCCTAAACCCTAAACCCTAACCCTAGGATCGCGCAGTTTCGACACCGCGACGATCTCCCGGCATTCGACCACGCTGACCAAATCCGAGGATGACGATCTCGTGGTGATGCCCGGCCGTCCAAAACCCTAAGCCCTAAGCCCTAAACCCTAAACCCTAAACTCTGGGAGGGGTGCCGGGGTCAGAATCTGAAGAGTCTGAAGGGTGTCTAGACTTGTGATGGCCTCTACCCACACGAAAAGGGTTTCCTGTCCAATATTCAACAAACAAAAAAATCCCAACAAAATCACCGGAAAACCCAAAAAGAAACAGAAACACAGACTCAGAGGAAAAACAAAGCCTAATCAACAACAAATCAAATTTAACAAACAAAAATCGTCAAGCACCAATCAGAGAATAATCAACCTCCGAAAATCTTATAAAAATCAAAAAATAGTCAGAAATCAATCAAAAACAATCAAACAGTAATCAGAAAACCATCAATGCCCGAAAAACTCCCACAAGAATCAAAGAACTCACAAAATGATCAAAAAAACTATCAACAACTAATCAAAAAAACAATCAGCCACACCCCGGCCCCAGGCTCCGATTTCGTTCTTGGTTTCTTATTTGATTTTTTCTGCGGATTCGGCAGGTTCTGAGTTCATTATTTTGGGCTAGCATTTTTTGGTTTTTGTTTGATTTTAATTTTATTTTGCTTTTGAGTAAGCCCACAAAAACCTTTTCGTGTGGGTAGGAGAGGTCCGGTGGGCTCTTTCGTTTCAGGCTGTAGGCTCTGCCGCTCTGATTTTAGTGCATGGCTGTATGCCTGCGATCAGGCTGTTGGACTACGCAGGCAAAGACCATTGTCTTTCCATTTTGTCCATACATATCCACTTGACAAGCGCTGGGCTTAAGACTATTCAAGTTGCTCGCAAATATCTCTTTTCGGCGATGAAACTGATGAAAGCGCACACAGTTCTTCGTACGCCCCCTTCTTTCGCTCACGGATGTAAAAAGAAAAGGTATGAAGCCTGAAGGAAAGCCAGCGAAACGACCAAGGAGCTGATCCTCCCCCACAAACAGTGGCCCTCCTCGCCTTACCAGGAAAGCCGATAAACGCATGTTTTTAGGGGGGGATCGGTCGGCGCATCAAGACAATCTACTCAAGCCCCCCCCCCTCCCCCCCCCCCCGTAAGTCACCCTTTAGAGGGTTTTGGTTTAGGGGTTAAGCATACAGGTCCTATGGGTTGGGTTTGGGGCTTTGGTAGCTTAAGGTTTTTTGCTGTACTGAATCCCAATGCCCAATGCACCGCGAGGCACTCGACCGAGTCGTCTGGCCTGCCAGTTCACGCACTGGCTTCTGTCACTTCTCAGCCGAAGCGGCAGATTCCCTTGTGGATGCGGTGGCGTAAGTTCTGGGGTGTGCTCACGATCATCATCGCGATTGTCGGCGTCAGCATTTACAACCTGAATGCCTCGGACGCTTCCCTGCTGCGAAATGCACGCCAGTCTGTCAACTACCTTGCGGAAAGGCAGGCTGCCGACATCACCCGTCAACTGCGTACATCTGTCAGCAGCCTTCAAGCACTTGATGGAATTCTACAGATCGATCGGTGCAGCTCGGGCATCGCAGACTTTGATAGACTGGCAATGACCCTAATCGACACTTACAAGGGCATCTCCAATTTGCAGTTAGCACCCTTTGGAACACTCCAGCACATCTATCCTTTGGTGGATTCAACCCAAGACAATCGCGGTGCATTGGGACTCGCACTTCTGCTGGAGCCAGCCCGCGCTAGTTTTGCACTCGCTTCCATAAAGGCAAGAACCACCCAGGTAAGCGGGCCGCTGCGGCTCGTGCAAGGCGGGGTAGCTGCGATTGCACAGCGGCCCATTTTCTCGCGCTTCGCTCCGAAGTACTTGCCGGACGAGTGGTTCCTCGATATGGACGGGGTGAACCACAGCAGAATCTGCTCCATACCCGAGACACGCGACGAAGTGGAGTGCTCGTTTCCTGGTCCCCCGGATCCGACTGGCGATCCCACATATTTCTGGGGCTTTGTCATCATGCTGACTCGCATCGAAGACTTCCTTGCTACAACGTCACTGGCGTCACTGGAGAGGGAAGGAGAAGGAAGCGTTGCCGGTATCTCCCGGTTTGCCTATGAGCTCTCGGATCCAAGCCCACACCCTTCACTGGCAGACGTGGGCGGCATATGGCAGCGCTCCTCGAACACGGACGCGCTGAGCGACTCTGTCATCGTGGACGTGGCCGTGGAAGAGTTCGGGTTTCGCTGGATCCTCAAGGTCGCACCAATGGAGGGGTGGCGAAGTCATAGTTGGGTAGCATTTTTTACATGCTTAGTAAGAGAACTTAAAACCCAATAAGGAGTAGAAGCTTAAAGTTCTTTATATATTCTCCCAACCATGAACTATAGGTGGCCGGTGGTGTCGGAAGATTTCTGGAGGCAGCTCCTCTTGGTATTGCCTCTTACAGCGATGCTGGGTGTGCTTCTCGGTGTCTACATCATCTTCGCCCTGCGGAAGGAGGCGATGAAGCTACAGGGCCTGGCAAGATACTGGGCTTGAAAGAAGGAGGCTTTTTCTCGTTGTTCTTGATTCTGCTGGGTTTGGGGGCTTTGTGCGTGCTCCAGAGACGTTGAAATGGAGCAAAGCTTGGGTGTTAAACTCTGCATTCTTGACAGCTCATACAGTAATGATATCGTGGATTTTGAGAGCATAATGTTTGTACTGATTCCGATCTTCCTAAGCCGTGATCCTGTAATGCAGAGCTCCAGGATACCTCAAAGAGCAGAAGGTCTTGGCCATCGAAAGTGCTGTGCACAACTTGAACACCTTTCAGTGCTCGATGCAGCTGGGTTCAGGAGTAAGGATTCAGGAACAAGTCCAAGCTTGCAACGGTTTGAGAAGGTTCCGTTTGCTCCCGACTGGAGGGTTCATTTGGCTAAATGCAAGTACGCTTGCATGAGCATTCAGGGGCTCAGAGCGAGAAAAGTTGTGAGACAAGCATACTTCGGCCCAACGCTAAACCAGGTCGACCGGTTCTGCCCGGCCCGAGAATCTACCCCAAATCACGGGCCCCGAATCCCCATAAACATGAAGCCCTCAACCCTTAAACCCTAAACCCAACAACTCGAAGCCCCAGACCTTAAACCCCATAAACCCTAAGCCCGAAACCCATAAACCCTAAAACTCTAAAACCCTCAACCCTCAACCCTGAACCCTAAACCCTAAACCCTAAGCCCTAAACCCTAAACCCTAAACCCTACTATTCGGAAGACGGGGTTGCTCGGAGTCCACACTGGCAGCTTTGGATGCTTACAGGTTTGGTTTCGCGGGCTACCCATTGGCCTCGATTAGGGTTTACGGTTTAGGGTTTAGGGTTTAGGGTTTAGGGTTTAGGGTTTAGGGTTTAGGGTTTAGGGTTTAGGGTTTAGGGCTCAGGGTTTAGGGCTTAGGGCTTAGGGCTTAGGGCTTATAGGGCTTAGGGCTTAGGGCTTAGGGCTTAGGGTTTAGGGTTTAGGGTTTAGGGTTTAGGGTTTAGGGTTTAGGGTTTAGGGTTTAGGGTTTAGGGTTTAGGGTTCGAAGCAAAGGGCTCCTGATCATCCGACGCGGCTAATTCTCAAGGCCCCCTCATTACATTGTCATAGTTGGGTAACATTTTACATTCTTGAGGGTACTTAAACCCAATAAGGAATATAAATTTAGATTTTTAAGACTATCCCAACCATGAACTAGATTAGTCAACTTGCAAAAGCCTCAACCCTGCAAGCGCCCCCTAAGCGCTAAACTCTACTCATACATTTATTGAGGTGTATGTTCAGGAGCCTTAGAATCCAAAGTGTCATGATGACTAAATGCTGTCACTAGCTTGTCGGGCTTCTTTTGAACATTCTCCTGAAGCAATTCCTAGTGAGAGCCAATCCCCAAACCCTAAACCCTAAACCCTAAACCCTAAACCCTAAACCCTAAACCAGGTATCTCGTGGAGCTGGGCGACTTCTTGGAGATGGGTGGGCTGGTCTGCCACGAAGACGCGCGGGATGCCAAGAAGCTTTGTTGCTTTGATCGCCCGGCCGCTCGCTCGCCTGCTAGTACTTCTTCATTCTCTAAGCATTTGAGAAGCCCTGAACCCTAAACCCTAAAGCTCGCTAAGCCCAAAACCCCCCACCCCCCAAACCCCCCAAACCCCCAAAGCCCCAAACCCCCAAACCCCCCAAAGCCCCCAAACCCCCAAAAACCCCCAAACCCCCAAACCCCAAAACCGCAAACCCCCAAACCCCCCAAACCCCCCCAAGAACCCTAAACCCCCAAACGCCCCAAACCCCGCCCCCCCCAACCCCCCAACCCCCCCCCCAACCCCCCAAACCCCCCAAACCCCCAAAACCCCCCAAATCCCGTTTTTCCTAACCGCCCAGGGGGGGGCTGGGGTGGGGGAGTGGGAGAAGTCTAAAGTTTAGGGTTTAGAGTTCAAAGTTTAGGGGGGGTCTACTTGTCAAAGAGGGCTCATGAAAAGGAGACTTCATGGGCTCTTGGCGTGTGCCCTTCTTGGTGCCTTACTGTGATTTTCTCATCCTAACCCCTCTGTGACATGGGTAGTCTTGATTTAGAGAACTACCCAGATTTAGAATGTAAGCCACCCCATAGCGCATTACAAGCCCCAACCGCCCCCCCCCTAAACCCTATAAACCTTAAACCCTAAACTCTAAACCCTAAACCCTAAACCCTAAACTCGAAACCGCGTACTATAGGAAGATGTCGTGGACATCGCTCAGCTTTCTGGCGTGGTCTTCATCAGCCATCAGTGGACTGGCTTCGACCACCCTGACCCCCTGAACGTTCACTACGAGGCCATACTTGTGGCCTGCCTTGCGACTGAGAGCCATAGGGTTTAGGGTTTAGGGTTTAGGGTGAGAACCCTTGCTGGGTTTTAGGTTTCGGGCTTACTTAGGGTAGGCAGGGCCTTTTGATCTTTGGGTCGTTCCATGGTCCCTTAATATGGGCCCTTCACAGGTGGGACCCCGGACCCCTTATATATCCCAAAACACACCCTATAAGTCCCACTTCAGAACGGGACCATATTAAGGGACCATGCAACCACCCTTAGACTTGATACTAGTTGTGAGTTGTTGTGCTAACCCTCTGTTGTGGTTAAGAGGGCCTAAACCCTCAACCCTAAACCCTAAACCCTACTTCAACCTAGGTGGCCATCAGGGGCTTGCAGCAGGAGGGCCTAAAGTGCGGCTACATCTGGGCGGACTACATATCCATCCCTCAGGCGAACAGCTTCTTGTGTACCAGTGGCGCCCATTTTTGCCTTTGATTTTGGGGGGGGGGGGGGGGGTTCTAGGTTCCCTTAGAAAATGACCCTAAACCCTAAACCCTAAACCCTAAACCCTTATTAAAAGCTGGTTACTGGGGCCACCAAGGCTTCCAGCAGCAGGCAGCCATCAACTCCTTGGCGGTGTCTTGGTAGCCCAGTGGTACCCTTTTCCCTTTTGCTTGGTTCAAGGTTCCCTTCTAAAGCAACCAACCCCCAAACAGGGCTACCCTAAACCCTAAGCCCTAAGCCCTAAGCCCTTAGCCCTAATCTGGTTACTGGGCTACCCAGGTGTACGCCTCCGTGTGCTCGTCGCTGGTCTGCGTGGCTCCAAGGTGCAGACATGCAGACACTGGAGCCTTGGAAGCTGAGCGGTACCCTTCTTGCCCTTTTTTGGGTTATGGGTTCCCTTATACTTATATAATATATATATATATACATCTATATATATATACATAACTAACTAACTGACTAACTAACTAACTAGCTAACGAACACCAGAGCCTTGATAGCTGGGTGGTACCCTTTTGCCCTTTTTTGGGTTCGGGGTAGCGGTACCCTTTTGCCCTTTGTGGGGTTCTGGGTTCCCGTAGGAAAAAAAACTAACACCAAAAAGGATGTCCTTGTTGTGATATGGTGACTGGGCTACCCAGGTGCGGAGCTCAACATGCACACGTACTGCGCCCGGGGATGGTGTAGGCTCGAAGTTCTTGGCTTCAAGACTGGAACTTGCGATACAGAGGACTTTGTCATAGAGAGATAACTTTTTACATGTTTAAGTGTACTTAAACTCAATACTGAAAAATTGCTTGTTAATACTATCTCAACCATGAACTAGAGGAGAAGCAGCGGGCGGCATTTATTTGCGACGGGGACGAGCTTAGTCTCATCACCGACACGACGAGTGACCTCTCTGATGAGTTGATCCTCCACGTGCTAGGGGGCGCCTTAGATGCCCACTGGTACCACCCTTTTGCCCTTTTTGTGTTGGGGGTTCCTCCATGCTCATACCCAACACTCAACGACTACGTTTGTTTACCGGGCTACCAAGGCTCGTTCACCTGCTGCAACAGGAGCCATCCAGGGGGTGCGCTGTGTGACCGGCAGAAGATTCGGGATGTGCTGCTGGGCATCTATTGGAGACTCTTGGCGATGAGGAGGGATGGTGACATGAACTGCGTGATCTGGTCAGACCGCATCCTACAGCTGGTGAGGACTGATCCTGAGAAGTACTTCCCCAGCCAAAGTTGGTATCGTTCAGATCGCATCGATGAGATGCAAGAGCATTTCGATGGGTATCTGCCGATCTTGCAAGTAATGTTTGAGAAGGACACTCGGCTAGAACACGAAGAGCGACTACCGGTGTTTGGCCGGAAAACGGCAAAAATGATGGCCATCTAACCGTGCTTTCACGGATATGCAATCATTGCATATGTACATTTGTACGAGGGACTTGTGCGTCTGCAAAAGTAGACGTAGCTAACCGCACATTCGCATATCAGCAGCTTCAAGAAGCAGCCATACCGCCCATGTGGTCAGTTCTCAAACAAAATATGGCCCTCTGTATTTTGGCCAATGCACTCGGTATGTGATATGAGGCTCCGCAATGTAATGGGAATCCAGAAAGACACCGTGGTCCGGAGCACTGACCATGTTTTTCCTGCTTCCAGACTACTCCTGGTCCAGCCAACTGCCTTGCAGCACATCGCATGCGCAGCCTAATCATCCCGTGTCACACACTGAAAGAGGCAGTCACTGGGCGTTCTTCCCAAGGGAGTGGCTTCACTCAGGTCAGCATGCGGAGCATAAGCTGTAAGCCTGAGAACAAGTTTCATTTCTGGCCTTACGGCCATTCAGGTTGACCCCCTTGTTCACGGCGACGCTCGCGACCCGAAGGTTAAAAACGAGAAACCCATTGGCTCAAATGCGTTGTGGGCGACCCATGATCCTCAACTGTTCAAAATTTCGGCTTCACCGTTCTCAGAGGGCCAAGCTGAGTAGGTCCTGCGTCATGTGGCCTGATTTGGCATAACCTTTAAAGTTCTATGAGCCCATAAAGCCATATAGCCAAGACACCACTCGGAGTTCTTCCTCGTACTGTAGCAAGTTCTTGATGAGGGTTCAGGCTTTGAGGTTCAACCCCATAACCACAAATTCTCCCCGTGTCGTCAGTTCTTTCGACACTGGTGATCTTTTGTGGGGCTCTTAGGAGAACCCAAAAACATGACCATCATTAGAGACTTGGTAGCGCAGTGGCATGAAAACCCCAAAAAAGGTACCTCATCATTAGAGACTTGGTAGCGCAGCGGCATAACCAACCCCGAAAAAGGTACCCTTATTATAATATGGTTGCTGGGCTCATTACTAGGAAAGCTGGCTGCGTCGTGGACAGGAGAGAGCAGTGCATTTCGCCCAGCTGCCTGCAGAACTTCCAGTCCGGTGGCCGCTGGGTCCAAGTGACAGCGCAGGGTTGGTTTCGGGCCTAAACCCTAAACCCTCAACCCTAAGCCCTGAACCCTAAAACCTAAACCCTAAACCGACCCCCGTTAACGGGAGTTCGGGGGGGAGAGGTGGGTGGGGGGGCTGGTCGTGGCCAAACCGTAAAAGCCCGAGCCCTAAGCCCCTAAATCCTGAAGGCTGAAGTGTATGGTTGTACGGTAGTGTTCAAGGCTTCAGCTTGTCTTGGGCGTCGCGGTTCTGTTTTCATGGATGTGGAAACAAAACTTTGCGGTAGGTTGTTTCAAGTCCGCGCACAGCGCGTAGAAGCATAGAGGCCGTAACACAGCCTTGTTTTGCCCACACGATCCCCCTCTCTCTCTCTACACACGTATAACAAACGAGATTACGACTTTCGGAGCTGCACAAACATGGACCCCTTTGTTAGCTTGTTCGGACATTCCCATTGACCCGATTTGCAGAGCCCCCCCAACCCCCCTCCCTGCCTCATCTGCACAAGGCTATGCAGTTGGCTGCAGTCTCCTAGAACAGGGGAGGTCCAGCCACTGGGCCAACGACTTAGGCTTTTGAGGGTTTAGGGTTTAAGTTTAGGGTTTAGGGTTTAGGGTTTAGGGAGGTCCTTGCCAGCGTAAACCTAGGCTCCAGAGCTTGGTGAATGCTCATGCTGCTGCGACAGAAAAGGCGCGTGGGCCTTTCTTCATTTTTTCAGTGCAACGATTCGTTGTATCACGCGTTCTTCTGTCGTAGCTCCGGCTTTCGCATGCCAGTGCCCTGAACCCATGCCGTTCTTGAACTCCTGAACCCTAAGCCCTAAACCCTAAACCCCTGAAAAACCCTGCACCAAGAACATCTGCAGAACCGAGGCTATCCGCCGGGGCGAAACGCGCGCTACTCCTTCCCAGGGCCCTGCCCGCTCAGCGCGGAAGGGGCGAAGACGGAAGAGCGCCAGACTTAGGGTTTAGGGTTGAGGGTTTAGGGTTTAGGGAAAGCAGGTTGGGGGTTTCGAGTTTTGTTGTTGTTGGGGTTAGGAGTCTGTAGGGCTTTCAGCGTATTGCAGGTTAAGGTCTATAGGGCTTCAGGGTTTCGGTGTAGGAAGTAATCGGTGACATCCAGAGCTGAGAGATGGACAAGGCCCACATTTAGAACCAGGAAGCCTAGATATGAGCAGAGTTCTCTTGGCCCTGCATTGACTTGCAAGTGAGTTTGGGTCCTGACCCCAAAAGAGTGATGTACAAGGCAATCTTTAACCTCCTAGTTTCCCTTTCGGGTTGGCGAGCACGGAGAAGGAGGGATTAAATTGCTAGCACACCCAAAAGGCCACCCCGTATGCGGTGCAGTGTTGCCCAGTACCCCTCAACCCCCCCCCGCCGCCCCCGGGTTTTTAGGGTTTAGGGCTTGGGTTTACGGGTTTGAGGGTTTTGGCGTTTTTGCGTTTTTGGGTTTTCAAGGTGTTGTTGTTTTTTGCGTAGGGTTTTCAAGGTTTTTAAGGGTTTTCAACGTCTGCTTAGGGTTGCAGGTGTTAGGGTTTGGTTTTAGGGCTTTAGGGTTTAGGGCTTATAGGGTTTTAGGGTATGAAGCGACAAGCACTGCCAATGACGAAACCCTCGCAACCCTATCTCCCCATTGTACGTTCCAGAGTCTCTATATAAACCCTGGCACAATACCATATACCACATATATGTGTGTTTTACTTGTTGTATATATTTATGTCTTTATTTATCCTGTAATGTTGCACCCGGTTTAGTGCGGGCCCCCCCCCCCCCCTGGACAGTCGGAGGCGCGGATGGGATCCTGATTACACGGCCCCGGGTTCATATGATTTTAATAGGGAGGAGCTTAGATAAGTTCAAAAGGGGCAGTGATGCCCGGCTATCTTTTTTAAAGGCGCGGCGCGTGGAATTTTCTTACGGCGCCCGGACGATTTGTCTTTAAAGAGGGACTCCCAAACAGTCAGGGTGTCCTGAATAATTCGGCCAGTTTGTCTTTAAAGCGAGGGCCGATACTAAACCGGGTGCAACATTAAGGGCTTTGTATTATACAGAGGGATACAAGGTGCCTAATTCCCTCTTTCCGTACTAAGAAGCGGCGTCATCCGGAGGTGCCTAGAAGACTATCCTGGTGGGCTTTGTGACCAGCCAGATGGCACAGAAAACTGCACTTTCCATCTCGAGGATGCAGGACTCATGGGGTGGGAGCGTTTAGGGTTTAGGGTTTAGGGTTTTGGGTTTAGGGTTTAGGGTTTAGGGAGTGTGTGGGCATGAAGCAGAAGCATTCAGGGGGTTTAGGGTTTGGGGGCTTCGTGAGTCGTTGGGATGCTGTTTTCCTCCTTAAGCATGCGGCCCGTGAGGGTACGTGACGCTGGATGAGCTCAGTGGACGAAACCAGTCGTGCCGCGGTTGCAGGATAGACTCTTTGTGGCCTCTTCTTGCCAGTTGAAGAAACCCCTAAACCCTAAACCCTAGACCCTAAACCCTAAACCCTAACCCCTAAACCCTAAACCCTAAACCCTAAACCCTAAACCCTAAACCCCAAACACCTACAATACTAATCAGTTCTGTGCCTGACATAGTTGAAGGCGGGTCCGCGGCCCGGTCCCCAGGCTGGGACTCCCGACAAACCACACGAATCCAAAAGCCCTAAACCCTAAACCCTAAACCCTAAACCCTAAACCCTGAACCCTAAACCCTGTTTCTGAAACACCCTAGATAAGCCGCCCAACGAGGTACAAAAGCCACAGGGCTAGCAGAACGAACCAGACAATCAGGTCCAAAAAAATGGAACTTTAAAATCAGGGGTCAGCAAAACCCCAAACCCAAAGCCTGAACCCTGAACCCGAGAAATAGAGTTGTCGACCTTTCGTCAGGGATAAGGGCTTGGAACCTTGAACGGAAATCTGCAAGACACTAAATACCTCCAAATATCCCGAACCATAGAGTAGTTGGGAGGTTCGGGTGGACCGCTTCTAAACCCAAAAACCAATCGCCCTAAACCCGATAGCCCTAAACCCCATAGCCCTAAACCCTCGAACCCTAAAACCCCTAGAACCCTAAAACCTCTAGGAGCCTAAACCCCCCAAAACCCTTAACTCTAGAACCCTAAACCCCATAGCCCTAAACCGTAGAATCCCGGAGCCCTAAACCCTAAACCCTAAACCCTAAACCCGAAAGCCTACAAGGCTGGACTTCGCTGACTGGTGCGCCCAAGGCTTTCGCGAATGGGAGCCCTCCACGGACCGGGGGGCCTCTTGGCACCTAAACCCTAAACCCTAAACCCTAAACCCTAAACCCTAAACCCTAAAGGAGTTTAGGGTTTAGGCTTTACAAGGGCAGTTTCTGGATCGGATGTGGGGGTTCAGAGGCTTCTGGCCTTTTGGGCATCGCTGCTTTTTGGCTCTGTTCAAGCCAGCTCTCCAAAATTCGAGTCGCGTGATTCATCCCTGTTATCTTAAGACCCTTTCATTTCGACTCAGTGTTTTGAGTTTTAACTTACAGAGTTTTAGGATACCCCAAACGGACTGAGTGCACACGAGCTCGTACATACGTCCTCACGGCGACAGACCCTCCCCAGGGCGAAGCTTCTACGCGTCTTTTTTCCGACCTTCCACCAGCGAGGTGGGCATGAGCTTCTGGGACAACCTCCACAATGGCGCCATGGGCAAGGATGCACTTTAGGGTTTTGGGTTTAGGGTTTCCAGAGGGTTTCTAGGGTTTATAGGTTTTGTTGGGGTTTATAGTGTTTCTAGGGTTTCTAGGGTTTCTAGGGTTTACAGGAGTTTAGGGTTTGAAGGCTACGTAAAAGCTTTGGTGATTATCGTCTGTCGAATGCGACTTACGCAGGCAGAGTTTGACCAGGCATTCCCGACCTTTAATGAACTTATAACCCCTAAACCCCTAAACCCCTAAACCCCTAAACCCCTAAACCCCTAATCCCTAAACCCCCGAACCCCCCTAAACCCTAGAACCCTAAACTGCCTATCTAAATTTGCCCAGGTCCTTGAACCCACCCAATGTTAACGGAGCCCCGAAGCTCGCAGCCACCTGAAGCTGATGCAGGAAAGGATGTACAAGCCGCTCGGCTGCTCTTGGGGTGAAGGTTTATATTTCTCCACAACAAGCCTGCAGGCGTCTGCTGGGTTTCGGATTTAGGATGACTTAGTTCTCCACAACAAGCCCGACGACGTTTTGCTAGCACGGTTCAGGGTTTCGGGTTTAGCGTGTAATGCCTCTCATATCTTCTCATGAGTTAAGCGCCCAACAAGTATTTCGTGCCACATTAGAACCTTGCGACGAGATCATGGTAGCAACAACGGCTCTATGAAAAGTCGGAATCTTGATGCTGATAGGGATGGTCGCAGAGAGGCAGGCGGTGTGCATGCCTGCTTCACTTGCCGTTCGCCACTTCGACTGTCATGGAGACCGAAGCTTACACCCTCAGCCCCCAAATCTGCTAAAACCTAAACCCTAAGACCCACATCTCTTAGGCTGGCGTACCTCTTCTGGAAGAAGTATCCGAGCTCTCCCAAACGCCTTGCCGATCCATGTCAGAATCCGTACCTGGCGCCTTCATGACTCGGCCTGGCTTAGGGTTTAGGGTTTAGGGTTTAGGGTTTAGGGTTTAGGGTTTAGGGTTTAGGGTTTAGGGTTTAGGGTTTAGGGTTTAGGGTTTAGGGTTCAGGGCCTGCTGCAGTTCTTGAGGTTGAGGTTTTCCAGGATCGCTGGCCGCAAGCTCTGCAGTTTCAACTGGATCCTATATGCTACTCTCCCTACCCTCCCTACCTCCACTAAGACCTTTGCCGCTAGCTCAGTGTGGTAACACTGTGGGGTTCCAATGGTCGTGGCGAGGAGGTGACAAATCGCACGTGCACGCACACGCACACTCTCGCCTCGGCCCCCTGCACATTTTGAGACTGGCCGACTCACTTTGCTGCGTCCTGGGCTCTTGAAGTCGCGCCTCCCGCCTTGGCTGTTTCTCGCAAATCGGGGTGAAGTGCAGAGGCTATTGGGTCTGGGATCGTGGCCGATGTATGTGGAGCTTGCCATCGTCGTGTTCTTACTCGTTTGGGGACTACGCCGGCATGTTGGAAAGGGGCCTCATTTCGGGCATAAAATAGGGGTCGGAATCAGTACGAATAGTAGTATTCCCTGATGGTCCCTGCATAATTGTACCACAAGAACGCCCCAAACCCTATTCTAATTATAAAAGCCCCGTTGTCATAGTGGGGTAACATTTTACATTTTTCAAGGTGTTTTTTTAATATTACGCCAACTACAGTAGGCAGTTCGGGTGGGCGTAGCGTGTCGGATCCCGTAGGCAGGAGACCACACCTGGAGGAGTGCCGCCGTTGTCCTTGAAGTTGCCCTCAGTTGCCAAAAGAAGTCTCGACAACAGGGTTTAGGGTTTAGTCAGGGTTTAGGGTTTAGGGTTTAGGGTTTAGGGTTTAGGTTTAGGGTTTAGGGTTTAGGGTTTAGGGTTTAGGGTTTAGGGTTTAGGGTTTAGGGTTTAGGGTCTAGGGTTTAGGGTTTAGGGTTTAGGGTTTAAAGCCTGGAGAATTTGCAAGCATAGACTTGTAACGAGCACCAGAATCCCGAAATCTGCCCTAAAGGCCAGACCTCTGATCCTATTCGGTGACAGTGACGGAAAGGGCTTGGGGTCTAAGATTTGGGGATATTTGGGGTTTAGGAACCCTAAACCCTAAACGCGGAGCCCGAAACCCATCCCCTCAGGGATGGTGCGGTCTAGGCTTTATAAGGCTTAGTTTTAGGGTTTTTTTCGGGGAGGTCTATGGTTTCGTTCTTTGGGTTTAGGAGTTCGCGAAGGAGAAGCCTCCCCATCCCGTAGGCCTATAAGCCCAAAATGCCATCCGATTCCCCCGACTACCCTCCATTCTTGCCGAAGTACCTGCTATCAAGGGCCCTCTAGACCCGATTGAGATAGATGTAGAATCCAGGTTAAGCCTTCGACCCTGCTAAACCCCAACGCCTTATAAAACCCCGAAGACCCCTAAAGTAGTATGGGGCTTGAAAGAGCAGAAAGGCATGCGGCCCCTCCACTCACCTGCGACAGGACCCAACCCATAAGACCCCGAAGATCCCTAAACCCCCCTAACTCTATTAAACCCCAAACCCTCAACCCTAAAACCCTATAAAACCCCGAAGATCCCCCAAATGTAAACTTGAAGCGCTACATCCAGGGCTTCCTGCTGGCAGGCCCTGCACAGCGTCGCAGGGGGCACAGGGAGCGGGCTTGGCTCCTTCGCGCTTTCGGTCGCTGGGGGGCCCAGGCAGAGCTTCGGCGCTTGGGTTGGTCTAGGGGTTTTCGGGCTTGTAGGCATACTTAGCCAACAGTTGAACTTTAAACTTTTTGGGGTTCCTTATTTAGTAGGAAAAAACAGTTGTTGGAGAAGTAAGTAGGATTTATCAGGTTCAGGTAAGTTCTGGGTTTAGGGTCAGGGTTTAGGGTTTAGGGTTTAGGGTTTAGGGTTTAGGGTTTAGGGTTTAGGGTTTAGGGTTTAGGGTTTAGGGTTTAGGGTTCAGGGTTCAGGGTTTAGGGTTTAGGGTTTAGGGCAGCATCCTGTAGTCACCAGCCCTGGACAACCCCCCCCCCCTGGTTCTTAGTAGGGAATGAGGGAGATTTGGGCACTACACATATACCCCCTTTAAGGGATGAGGGAGTTAGGGCACTATATATATATATATACCCTTTAAGGGACTGTATAGGGTACCTTTTTCCCTATATATACCCTTTAAGGGACTGTATAGGGTACCTCTTTCCCTATGTATACCCTTTAAGGGGCTGTATAGGGTACCTCTTTCCCTCATTCCCTACGAAGAGCCAGCCAGACAAAGAGCTTTCGTTTCGGCCCGTCGCTTCACGTCGCAAAGCCCAGCAGCTTCGTGGCGCACGGGCTTGTGGAGTGTAGGTATGTAGGGCAACCGGACACCCCCATAAAATTTACTTGTTTTAGTTTTTTGGGGGGGAGGGGGGGGGGGGAGAGAGGGGAGGGGTTGAGGAGGTTTCGGGTCTTTGGGTCGTTCAACTTTCACCGGGTCCGGTACTTTGAGATCTTCTGTCTTTGTAAGGCCGGAGAGGCCATGAGAGTTACGGGTCAGAGCTGCAGTTGGCTGAGAAGACCCGAAGAAGCACGCTGAAGCCATGGTGGCGTGCCCTAAAGCCTATAAATAATGGTGTGGTGCGAAAATCCCGATTAAGGCCTGCTACTATGAGGGTGAACATTCCAAACGATGAGGTCAGAGATACGTTTCCCTCCGCCGTGCTCGCATCCATCTCAGTGTGGCCCTTTGAGAGCGGCGAGGTGCGCAGCTGCGACTCTGCGACCTCTCAAAAGCCTTAAATTTGGAACCCTAAACTCTGACTCTGAATGTCCCAAACCCCAAGCATAATCATTGATCCCTCTGACCTAAACACCGCACCTGTTCAGTCGGCAGGTTTGTTTCGATGTGCTGTCTCTGTGGGTCCCTCAATGCAGCCCCTCGAGCTCAGGGAAACCCTAAACAAGGACCAGGGTTTAGAGAGCTTGACATGATTTCGGGCATGTATCTTCAGATGTACACCCTACATCCCTAAACCCTAAACCCAAAACCCGATGATATGGGTGGCCGGTTCTCCGTGGCATGGGACACGCTCCGAGATGCCAGGTCAGCGTTCAGTGCTACAACGCTGCCCTGCCGCGACCTCGGTGACACTGAAGGATTACCTGGGTATTTCCCAAAATAGGGGTACCCCGTTTATGCCCCAAATAGAATAGAGGCCCCTTAATTCGACCCCCGAAAGGGTACCCCTATTTTCGGAAACCCCCACCTTTTTGTTTTTTTTCTAAGGTTTGGGGGTTTATAAGGTTTAGGGGATTTGGGTACCGTATAGAACCGTGGAGAAACCCTTCAATCAGGGGTTCTTAGGGAAGTCTGTGCAACCTTGACAGGAAGCTTGACCGGTGAAAGGTCCCCCCCCCCAACTTCTTCAATGTGGGTCCCTTTATTGGGTTGGTTGCTTATAGAGAGGTGACTCAGAAGCCCTCAGTTACCTTCTACCATGCTCAGTACTTCTACTTTAAGGTCCCATAACCCAAGAGAGCAAGAGCTGGGACTTAGATCATGCTGCGAGGGGGCGCGTTCCAGAATTGCAAGCCTTGCCGCATCTTCCCAGGCATGTAGGTGGAGGTGGCGTTGCGCGAAGCATAATGGAGTCATTGCACTGGTTCGGCCGTGGCGTCCGATTGGAAGCCAGTTACCGTGCTTTGCAGAAGCGCGATGGATATCTGAGACTTGGGCTGGTTTGGATTTTCTCATTTTCTGAGATCATGGCCGTGGCCGCAGTGCCAGGAGTACACTTGACGACCTCTCCCATTTTCACGATTGCACCCCTTTCCCTCATGTTTGTGCTCGCCTGCTGGCAAGCGGGAAGTGTCTCGGATATCATATGGCAGCCTGCATATCTGCTACGTCCCAAGGGCTACTCTAAATTTGGCATTGGGGTAAATCAGCGGTCCAGCCGGACTTTTTTGGCCATATCCATGGTCACTCGTTTGGCTTGTTCGGTGACCCTTGCAACCAATTTTTTGGTGTGGGTTTTTGATGAGACCAGCTGGATGTCCTGTGAACCCTACTACCTTCCCTGGGCAAAGTACAAGCGTTCGGAGCTACAGTCGGACTTAAGCGTTTGTGCAGCTGACCCCCAAGCCAGTGAGTGGTGCGAAACCCTCGATGGATTCCAGCGTCGCTGCAATGATCCAGTCCGATGGACGCCCCGGATGCGCAGCTATGCTTGGCAGGGACTCGGCTTGGAGTGCACGAACAGCACAGGAGACCTTGTAGTCAGCAACGCGCCCTCGTATGGCACGTATTGTGAGATTCCCAACGGCAAGGAAATCGGGTGCTACGCACAGGCGGATGAGACTTTGATGGTGAAAGAGGAGCTGATCATCTGGACAGACGAGAAAGGCATCAGCCTTGCCGGAGCCTGTGATTCGTGGCCTGAGTCGTTGCAGTTTTCATACCACTGTCAGATGTTCTTCCATAACACCGACTATTGCCACAAAGTCTCCAATACTCCAGCGATCAAGTGGGATGAGCTTCTTTGGCAGTCGTGCGAGGCGCATCGCTGCGTGGCTTCGTTACCCCAGTGGCTGCACTTCTTGACCCACTTTGAAAGGAAGCTGTATTGCCACTGCCAGCAATGCACACCCTGGTGGAGGGTGAACCAGTGCTCCTTGGAGGTAGTGGACTGGGCCATCCGTCGAATTCTGGAAGCTGAGCAGTTGGCTGGGCTCAGCCTCTGTATCTTTTTCATACTGGGATAGCATTCTTCATTCCGTAAAGGGTACTTGAACTCGATAAGGAATAGAAATTTAAATTTAGATGTTTATTACAGTCCCAACCATGAACCAGGTATTGGGCGAAGCAAGGGTCGATACAGACAGCCATGTTGGGCCGGTCTTGATTGGCTGCAGGCCTTGTCAGATCCCCGCTTTGGGATCCAACTTGCGCCTTGCATTCTGCAAAGAGGGGTTTAGGGTTTAGGGTTAGGGTTTAGGGTTTAGGGTTTAGGGTTTAGGGTTTAGGGTTTAGGGTTTAGGGTTTAGGGTTTAGGGTTTAGGGTTTAGGGTTTAGGGTTTAGGGTTTAGGGTTTAGGGCGTTCAGAAGTTAAACTGTGTTCCCATTGTACATGTCCGGAGTCTGATGTGAATGGAATCTGGCACGTAATGGAGTGCGACTGCGTCTGCCTGCTAACAGATGAATATACATATCTTTTTATGTCTATGCATGCATACATATGCAGGCAGGTAGGCATGTATGTATGTATGTATGTATGTATGTATGTATGTATGTATGCATGTATGTGTGTATGTGTGTATGTACGTAATGATATGGAATGTAATGTAATGTAATGTAATGTGATGTAATGTAATGTAGGTGTGTATGTATGTATGTGTGTATGCATGTATGCATGTATGCATGTGTGCATGTGTGTATGTGTGTATGTGTGTATGTGTGTATGTGTGTATGTGTGTATGTGTGTATGTGTGTATGTGTGTATGTGTATAGTCGTGTTTCTTGAGAGGGCATGTCCAAGGTGTTCCTCGGCTTTTGCATGTTTGGTCCAGTGGCCTGGCTGCTCAACAGTCTGCTGTTCTGCGCCTGCGCCGGGAACCCGTGGGCAGTGCCGCTTGACGTGGACATGAACGAGACAATCAAGAAAGAAGAGCTTGTGATCCAAGAAGAACTGTCAGTCAACGGCAGTATCCAAACATCATGCTTCGGTCGCCTGGGCATGTTGCTGGAATTGGGCTTTTGTCTGGCCGACTTTGCAACGGATATTCAGATGATTTTTCTTTACCACAAGGCTTATCACTATGGATTTGCAATCGTGCAAGGCTGCATGGTGCTGCGGATTTTGCTGGAACAGGTCCAAGGGTTCGTAGGACAGAATGGTGGGATCATCCGACCGGAGCACGAACCACACCTTGCGCTTGCATCCCAACAACTTAACTAAACCCTGAACCCCCGAGACCCCCCAGACCCCCTCAACCCCCTAAACCCCTTAAACCCCCCCTAAGCTCTCAGTGGTACCCTTTACCCTTTTTGTTCGTTATGTGTTCCCTTGTAAAGTAACCAACCCCAAAAAAGGGTGCCCTAATTGTGAGATGGTTTCTGGGCTACTAAGCCTTGAAACCCCCACAAGTTTCTCAGTTCGACCACAGGTGTTCCGCCTGGGTCTCCTTCACATCTTCCGGGAGACCTACCGCTCCCTGAGCGCCAACTTGCGCACGGACCACTTTCTGTCGTCGCTGGACTTTCCAAACTGGTTAAGGGTTCAGCGCTCTGCGCGCATCCGCCCGGGGCCCCTTTTCGGGGTTTAGGGTTCAGGGTTTAGGGTTAGGGGTTTGGGGTTTAGGGGTACCCCGTCATACGAACATCTTTACTCTAGGAACCTTCTGTCAAAAAGGTACCCCTATTTTAGGAAGCCACTCCGTAATTCTGGGGAACATGTTTTTCCCGACTGCTCAGTCAGTATGGGGACAATATGTTGCCCTCATGTTAAATTTGGGAGGTCTTGACCTTAAGGGGTCGAAGGAGGGACCAGCAACCCCTACATATATATATATATAAATACATACCTTATTTATATAGTCCCTATCTACCTAAGCTAAATAACCAAACCCCTAAGGTCCTCTAGGCCGATCTAGAATTTTGCACCAGCTATGGTGCCTTGCTTAGTCTCCCTTCTAGGGTTCCTATTCTTGAAATTTGAAAGGAAATTGTGAATCCCCCCCCCCCCCCCCCCGCCTCCCCAGATTCAGATTTATTTCTGGCTTGTTTTGGACTTGAGCTTATGGGCCCCTTCTTGGGGCATCTTAGCCGGGAACAGGGTCTTGTCTTGCAGATAACTTGAAGATCACGCTCCCCCCCCCTCCTCGCTACCCAAAAAAGATCAGCTGCTCAGTTGCGTTTCAGGGACCATGAACATACGAAGGTTGGCAGCCCTCACAAAAATTTCCCAAAAACAGCTCAGGTTGGTACAGAGTGAGAGGACCGGAGAAGCCACGCTCTCCTTTCTGCTGCAAGTCTACACCTTCTTCTACATGGGTCAGGATCGGGTGGCCTACTGGACGGCCTTTGTTTCCCTTATGATCAGTGCACGAGGTCTTACCCAAGGCTGCTACGTTCACTTCGACCTGGCCTACATGGCCTCTTTAGATGAAGTTGATAGGGAGGTGACGCCTGTCTCTGGAGTTCTCCCAGATGTGGGTGTACAAAGCCCCAGAGGGGCAAAAGCACCACCAGCATCGCCAAGAGAGGTGCCTGAAAGCCTTGCTTTGGATCTACCTGGAGAGATTCTGGAAGACGGCGCGAGGATGCAGCAAGATGATGCAACCTCCTAGCGCTATGCTGACACCTGAGGCGATTCGCAGGACTTTCGGCCCTCGTTGCAAAGCGCAGGGGCAGATTCATGAAGAGATTCATGAGTCATGAAGCACGAACGATGTTCTTCCAATGTTGCGAGTTACGAAGGCGTGTCATTACAGAGCGCTAAATATGACCACGCTCCGTTTGAGCTGAACGACTCCATTCGTCGGTGTTGCATTTTCTCGACAGTGCGTCAATGAAGTCGTACGGTCGTCGCAGTCATCACAAGCGTGCCATCCATGCGCCAATCATTCGTATGGAGAAAGCACTGGCACTTCGAGCTTCAAGCATTGGGAGAAAATGTATGGCCGAAGTAGCTCGACATGAAAGCCGGTGCTTCAAGCTTCAGAGCCTGGGAGCCACAATGGCTGCAAGTGTGGTAGAGGCGCTGCTTCAGCCGGGACACCCAGCTCCAGCTGATGCCAACAGCAAAGACTGTCGCATGACTGGGTTCTTGTTTTGGGGATCTGAAGACAGCTACCATAGCAGGGGCACCATCAGGTTATGAAATATTCATTGGGGCAACTTTACCGCAGTTCCTTCACAAGAACCCTGATGCTCCTGGAGTCGCTCCTGCCCTGTAAGGGCTCGGTGGAGAAGCCGCGCAACTCGTTGTTCGGCAACAGCCTGCTTTCTTGGGGTAGTTACATGGTCGATGGCCCTGAACTGGGGAACCCTTGTACCCCTCATATACCCTCTAAAACCCACAGGCCCATACTTAGATGCCAAGATGCCCTATTGTCCTACACCCTCAACCTGAGCCCTTAAACCCTAAGGTTTAGGTTTAGGGTTGAGGGTTTAGGGTTGGAACCCTAAGTTCAGGATCCAGGTATATGTGCTCTTTTGCAAAATTTGGGTTTTGGGCCCCCATATGGCTTTAGGTAGTAGAGTTCCGAGCATCCCTTGCTATACTACTATACGAAGAATAATGAAAGAACCCAATGAGAACCCAATGCTACAATGACATAATGCCTTTACCTTAAAGCCTAAACGCTATACCCTAAATCCCCAAAGCGCCCTTACTGCCTGAATACACTTGGCTTTTTGGCGCTCTTCTGGCCAAACCCTGAACCCTAGACCCTAAACTCAAGACTGAATCGGGGCCCATGCGATTGCAGGACCCTCGCAGCTATCTACGAACATGCTGCGCTACCCTCAGTGAACAAGATGTGGTTTATATAGGGTTTAGGGTTTAGGGTTTCGGGTTTCAGGACCCCAAATCCTGACAGGCTCTTAAGCCCCAAGCCAGTCATCCCTCGTAGGCGCCGCTCTTCAATGCCATTAAGTTCTACCCTTGATACACAGACCACCCTTGGTACCCGTTCATGTCCTTGACTCAAGCCTCATGCCTTGAATCCGACTTCTGTTTAGGGTTCAGGGTTTAGGGTTTAGGGTTTAGGGTTTAGGGTTTAGTTGCCCTCCGCCCAGAAGCTGTTGAGAAGTGAGGACTTGGCGGTTGTTTGTGAGAACGAGCGCTACCTGGACCTCTGCCGCCTTTCGCCTTGTGCTCAAGAACCTCGTTCAGGGTTTAGGGCTTAGGGGTCTAGGGTTTAGGGTTTAGGGTTTAGGGGTTAGGGGTTAGGGGTTAGGGGTTAGGGGTTAGGGGTTAGGGGTTTCACAGCTAGGGGGGGGGGGGGGGGGGGGTGCGTTAAAATGATATTGGTATTGTTCTTAGTAATGTTCGTGGCAACCTTATTTTTCTGCGACTAGTACCCTGATGTAAAATATTCGAATATTAGACTTCAGGGGTTGATGAGTCTATCGATGGGCCTTTTTTCTATTGCGCAAGAGAAATTTAAACAACAGAGAGAGTGAGAGAGTGAGAGTGAGAGTGAGAGAGGAAAGAGAGGGAGAGCAATGTGCACTGCGTGTGTGTGTGTGTGTGTGTGTGCGCTTTAGTCTGCCCTGAAGCTTGTAGACATACCGAGGTCAGTGGCCCTCAACGCTGTCATAAACCCTTAAACCCTGTAAGCCCTACTCCCTTAACCCTTAACCCTAAAACCTAAACCCAGTGTGACAAATGACAGAGGCTTGGCGAGGCTCATCCTTCTCTCAGTTCGCTGAATGGTGCCATCGCGGAAAATTTGGCCAGATACCCCAGCAAATGGGTTTCGGGCTTATTGTATGGGCTTACAGTAGGGTTCAGATTTATATGTATATATATATATATCTATATCTATATCTATATCTATATCTATATATATATATATGCTTTAGGATATCCCAGTTGGAGAGAGGCTATTCATATGAGTTGATGACCCCAGGGGTGGAGCGCCTGCACCAAACTCACAGGTTCACTGGGGCTAAAGGAGGGACCCCTGTAAGGGACCTTATGGGGGGGGGGGGGGGGGCTCCTTAGGTATAGGGACTACAGAAGGTATATATATATATATTTATTTATACTTATTTATTTATATTTATATTTGTATATAGGGGTTATATAGGGAATAAGCTTAAGAGTCCCTTCTGGGGGCCCCTTCTAGAGGCTCTCCTTATACCCCTTAAGAGGTTTGTAGTGACAGTAGTGAGCGTGGTGAGGCTACTACCTGAAGGAGATTCTTGGATTGTACTTATTACTTGTGCAATGCCGCCGCGCACCCGCGACCTGCGACGCTTAGGATATGAGGACAGCTGCCGTTTGGAGAGATACGCTCAAACTGGTTCCCTAGGTTCGGCTAGATGAGTATGAGGAGTTTCCGATGCGCCTCAGGATTCATGAAGCAAGTCCTCGGCTCCTGAGCCATCCGTAGGCTGCTAAGTAACAGCTCATGCAGTTCCAGCACGGTTTCGAGCGATCGGCAGCAGTCCGAGTATGTCAGGAACCCACAACTCGTCCAACATGCTTGGAGCATCCCGAAGTCCTGTAATCACTGAATCTGAAAAGAAGACCGGGCACTAAGAAAAACAACTCAGCACAAAGACTGGGACTTCTCAGGTGTTTGCTGCAACCTCCTCAGATTCACGAAAGCTCGAGAGCGTGTAAGCGCAACCTAAACCTCACAATGGCCGAAATCCTTGGGGGGGAAATAGCCTTTTTCTCTGAGGTCCGCGTCCTCATGCCCTGCAAGTCTGTGTCGCAGCCTGAAGGGCTTCCTAGATCAGCTCGTGGGGGTCACAGCTTACAGCAGGGTTTTTGTGTGATTACGCTTAGGGGCTGGGAGTTTGGGCGTAGGGTTTATTTAGGTAATGACGAAGTTAACTATAGGCCTTACACCCCTAAGGGCACAAAGTTGGGGGCGCGGGGGTGTGTGGCTTCACGGGCTGTCGGGAGATATCCTCTTTGCCCAAGCGCCGCCTTTCCTAGACACGGCCTGCGGGGTTGCTTTTGCAGGGTACAGAGCTCCTAAACCCTAAACCCTAAAGCCTAAACACCAACTCTTTTCACGCAAGGCTGTCGCCTGCCCTTAGATTGTGCCTGAAACCTTGCCTTGGCCTTGCAAGTCGACCTCGACATGCTAGAAGTGTTGTTTCGTTGCCCAAGTCGGGGTCAAGATTAGAGCTTCGTGCTTTTTGTTGAGAATCTCAGCTCTCTATGGGTATACTCTTTCGAGCTTCTAGTGCCCAGAAGTATTGTTGTATACGGTACTCCCCCCACACCACTCTAAACCTTACAAACCCTGAGCTAAGCCCAAATTCCGAAACCATCTAAACCCCGAAGAAACCCTAAACCCTAAACGGTAGAGCAGCGGAAATCCTTGAAGGCGGGCCCAACACGGGCCCGGCTGCTCCTTGCTGCAGCTGGTGGGGCAGCTCTGCGCGCATCCGCTCGGGACCCATTTTTGGGGTTTAGGGTTTAGGGTTTAGGGTTTAGGGTTTAGGGCAACTTTTCAGTCCAGGGTTCTTGAGGATGTTACCTTGGCGGCTGCTCGTTGGAGTTATTATCGGGGATCCCAGACCGAGCCTAGCTTTTGGATTCCGGGCTCCCTAAACCCTAAACCCTAAACCCTCAACCCTAAACCCTAAACCCTAAACCCTAAACCCTAAACTCCCACCCAGGCCTGCTTAGGCCGTACCCACCCTTTTCTAGGGTACCTGGACCCAGAACGACATCTGACAGCTCTTCACACCATGACTTGGAGCTACTACGCCAGCCTAAATTAGGGTTTAGGGTTTTGGGGTTTAGTTTGGGGTTTAGGGGTTTGGGGCCCGTATACCCAAAGCCTTGATCCCTCAAGCTCTAACCATCAGGCCGCAAGAGTTCTTTGGCGCCTCCACAGTCAATTTTGACAGGCCCTTCAACCCGAAAGCCCGGAAACCGAACCTGTAGCCGAAGCGGTTTAGTTTAGGGTGCACAGCTCCGCTAAACTCCTGAACCCTGACCCTCGAACCTCCTACGATGTTGGGTCTAGGTAAATCAAAAAACCCCCAATCCTTAAGTCGCAAGTCCTCAGGCCCAGACAAATCCTACTTTCCTAGAAGTCTCATGGCCCATGTAAACCCTTGAAAGGTTTAGGGCTTCGGGCTTAGTGCTTAGTGCTTGGGGTTGTTCAAGTTCAAAACCACGAGAGCTTCACGCCCGAGGTTGTACAGATTGACGACTGTGCGCGGCACCCGGGCGCATGCGGGTCGGGCTTGCACGAAAGTCCCCGAAGGCTCCCTAGAGGCCGAAAATTCTTGTACCTAAGTAGGGATTCTTGGGTGTAGGGTTTCAGGTTTTGGGTTTAGGGTTTAAGGTTTAGGGTTTAGAATCCCAAACAGGGAATTCTTGGGCACTAACTGTACTTGCCATATGGGGCTTTGGGGCCCAAGATCTTTCCAATGAAATACATGGACCCTTAGGGTTACAGACTTGCCACCCGAATGTAAGTATGATTATTGCATACTCGGAGCCCCAGGATACTGGGCGATGTTTTGTGGGTTCGGGTCTAAGCAAAGCTTCTTAGGGTTTAGAGTTTCGGGGCTAAAGAGCTTGGGGCTTCTGTGTTTGGTGGTCCGTCAGATTCAGATGTTTGCCTGCTTGGTGTTTTGCTGGCGTGCTCCTTCATGAGCTTTTGAGTTCTCAAGGGTTCACCCTCAACCCTGTACCCTGACCTAAGGCGAAGCCCTGACAATGGGAGGGCAGGGTGAGGGACAGGGGGGGGGGCCTTGTCGATACGCGTCTTGATGTTATGAAGAGTAAGTGGAAGAGCAGATCCCTATCAAAGTCCCTTTATTAGGAGGTTCTCAAGTATTTCCCTTTGCGGGTACCCGAGTATGAAAGCTAACGCGTGCCGCCTCGGCCTGGATAGGCATACGGGGTGTCACTTTGGTCCGGCGGGTACAAAGCGAGGAGGAGATCCACAGCGAATCCAGATATGGGCGGAGGTATCGTTTTATGGGAGGTCCATGGCGCCTCGCAGGGGCAGTCCACAGTCAAGGTACACACCGAAATTCACAGGTGCTGCATAGGGAGCCCATAAATTCCCATCTATTCCACAGGGTCCATGGAGTGTTTGTAGAGGCGCAGCCTGCCACAGACTCGGCGCGGAGCAGAGGCGGGCACAGGGCTTCCTAAGGGTTTTGGGGGTTTCTCGGTAACCTTTTTGCCCTTTTGTGGGGATTCTCGGGAACCTCTGCCTCGGGAACCTTGGGCCCTTTTTTTTGCGTTTGGGATCCCTTTTATAAAGCAGCGAATGCCGTAACCAGAAGAGTTGTGACCGGATTCTGGATGGTAAGATGGCTGCTGGGCTACCGAGCCTTTTGGGGCCCTAAGGGCCCTGGGGTTCCATAGGGTATGTAAAGGGTAGATAAGGGGCCCTGGTTTAAGGGCCCTGAACCCTAAACCCTAAACCCTAAACCCTAAACCCTAAACCCATAATTATGAAAGGACCATGGAACGACCCTTAGATTCTGCTGTGGTCGCCGGCGTTCCATCCCTGAACAAACGAGCCGATGCAGCAGCCTAAATCCTGACCAACAAGTTGCCCCTCCACAATTCCTATGTTAACTTTACATCGAAGCCGCCCAAAATCCCCCTGCTAGTTGAAAATAGGCACCCTAAACCCTAAACCCTAACCCCCTAAACCCTAAACCCTAACCCCTAACCCCCTAAACCCTATATGTGCTGGGTGACGGAGCTTTCTTTCACTTCAAGGCGTGACGATCAATCGCGCCGCATCTCCGAAACCCTAAACCCGTAAGCCCCTTAGGGTTTAGGGTTTAGGGTTTGGGGTTTAGGGTTTAGGGTTTAGGGTTTACGGCCTAAACCCTCCCCCCCCCCCCACCCCCCAACAATCACCTAATCCTAAAGCCCCAAGGCCCTAGAACCCTGGACCCCAAGCCCCTAAACGCCTATAACAACCCCGAAGTCCCCTTTTTCCCCTAAAACCCGAAGACCCTACACCCCCAAACCCTAAAACCCTAAATCCCTAAACCCCCACACACATACCTTAACACTTCGAAGAATCCTAAGTGCCTCTCAAAGCCCTAAAAAGCCTAAACTACTAATTGTTTAGGAACCAGTAAAATTTATACCCCCCCCATGTAAGGGCGCTAAAGGGATGATTGTTTTTTTAAAGCAAATATCTAAAACACCCTAAAGTCCTAACACCCTAAATATCCAAAACCACCAAAACCCCCTAAAAAACTCCAGACAGCCTAAAAACCCTTAAGAACCTCTCAACCCCCGCCCCCCTTTCCCCTACCACAAAAAAGAAAAGAAAGCTACAACCCTAAACCCTAAACCCTAAACCCTAAACCCTAAACCCTAAACCCTAAACCCTAAACCCTAAACCTTCGGCTCGGAAGGCATTCACATCGGACTCCTGGTTGGCACTCCAAAGGCCGGCCAAAAAAGTCTCGCAGAATTTCCTGGTTCTGGCTCTTTTCCGTAAATCCTTAGACGGCCTAAACCCTAAACCCTACACCCTACGGGTTTTAACCCTGGCGTTGAGGGTTAAGAATGCTGAGTGTTGAGGGTTGAAGGTCTTAAGGGTTTAGGCTTGAGGGTCCCAAAGTCTCGCGCAGCTTCTTCCGAATCACCGGCCAGCCTCTCCCCCAACGGGGCATCCCCGCAAGAATCTACTGAAAAGTGGTACCGGGCACCATAGGAGTTCTGAATGCTTACGAATAGCACTCGAGGTAGGCCCTGGGGACATTTTATCTTTTCCCTTATTTGGGTTTAAGAGCATCATATTCGGGAATATTTTTCAGAGGGTTTTAGGGGCCATCCTAGCACTGGTGCCTATCAAACTATACTATAATAACCTCCCTCCAAAAGTCCTATTCTAATTCTTAAGGCCCCTTTGTATTGCCCCTTTGCAGGGCGGCTCAGGGATCCTCACGGTACGTGGGTAGGGCATGGGCTGGATGACACAGGCACGACCCTGACGTCTAAACCCTAAACCCTGAACCCTAAACCCTAAACCCTAAACCCTAAACCCTAAACCCTAAACCCTAAACCTCGTCCCATGCCCAGCACCTCAAACCTTATGGAACTTACTCTTCAGGTGAACCCTGAGCCCTGAAACCCCAAATCACTGCTGGGAGGTTCATGGGTACTTCTTACCCCAATCATAAGTCGACTTCTATCCCTACTTCGAGGACTTCGGGGACTTAGGGGGCTTATATATACAGTTATAGTCTACTTCTAACCCTACTTAGAGGACTTAGGGGACTTAGGGGGCTTATATGTACCGTTCTAGTTGGGGTTATAAGTACCCTGAAGCTCCAAGTAGCCCCGGGAGGCGATTGCTCCAGTTGTCCGAGACAGGGGCCCTGGTCGACAGGCCCGCCGGTTAGGGTTTAGGGTTTAGGGTTGAGGGGCTGATGGCCGCAGGCACCCGGCTTTCGACACCCTAAACCCTACACCCTAAACCCTAAACCCTAAACCCTAATTGTCAAGGGAGAAACATGTAGTGACTTATCGATGTGCCTGGAGCAAGACCAGGGTGCCTTTCAGGGTGGGGCCCATGCTCAAGTATGTGCAAGGTTCAGGTTCAGGGTTGAGGGTTTAGGGTTTAGGGTTTGGTTCAGGTTAAGGCTGTATTTAGGGTTTAGGCTTCGCGGCTTTTGTGCTCAGAGCCTGCCAGGCCGTCGCAAGCCAGCCACAGCCCCAAGGACGCAGAAGCACTTAGCCTAAGTTACACTAAGCCCTGACCCCAAACCCCAAACCCAAGACTTGGGTAACCTAATTGAATTACATGTTTTTTGCAAGGCAAAGGCAGAAAGTTTTAAGCCCCAAAGCGCAACCCTACTTGGAGGTTCATGGGTACTTCGAACCCCAATCATAAGTCTACTTCTAACCCTACTTGGAGGACTTAGGGGACTTAGGGGGCTATAAATACCGCTATAGTTGGGGTCATAAGTACCCTGAACTTCCAAGCAAGCCATGAACCCTGAACCCTGATCCCAAAAAACTCCAGGAGCGTCCGGCGCGCTGCCGGACCCTCGCAGCCGGGTCCCCACAGAGCTCAAGCTCGGCGTCTGTTTGGGCCTTCGGGGTTTACGGTTTTCAGGTTTTTGGGCCCTAAACGCTAAACCCTAAACATGGCTTTGGAGTTTCAGGGCTTGGGTCGTCAGGGTTTGGGGCTTCAGGCTTTCAGAGTTTTAGGTTTTCAGCAGGTGCTGGCTTTAGGGGTTTAGGGTTGTAGGTGGGTTTGCGCGTTTTAGGATTTCAAGGTGTATGGTCTTAGGGTCCGTAAGTTTCGCTCAGCTATTAAAGTAAGAGTGTCTACGAGAATTTCGAGGGCTTGTCGGGCTTGGGACGGTTTTGTTAGGGCGGTGAGGGCTTTAGAGTTTGATGTCGGAATAGGAGGCTCCGCTCGCTTTTAGGGCTAAAGGGATTTTTTGGGATCTGTAGAACCTTAATAAGTCTAACCCTAAACCCTATAAAGCCCTAAACCCTGAACCCCAAACCCTAAGCCCCTGAGCAAGCTCAAAGAGAGGCCTCCGTCTTCCTGTGGGGCCAGGGCGCCGCCGACGCACCAGTGGACCGCAGGGAGGGTTCAGGGCTAACAACCTAAAACCCCGAAACCGCAAACCTTAGAACGCAAAGTCCAAACATCAGGAGTTATAACGGGAACCCGAACCTCAGCTTCTGAGCCCGATACATGCTTCATCCCCTAAACCTCGAACGTTTAGATTTTCAGGACCCTCAACCCTAAACCCTACACTCCTCAACCCCGAAACCCCGAAACCTTCAGGCCCCGAAACTCTCCTTTGGGCTTTCTTTGGCAAGCCAGGGCCCTGAACCCCTAAGCCACAGCCCCGAAGCCCAAACCTAAATCCCCAAGCCGCCTAAACCCTTAAACCCGAAACCCCCAAATCCCCCCAAACCCTATACCTAATCAAACCCTAAACCTTGGGATGTTCCCCCTTATACTATCAGTCCTCAACAGGGATAATAGTAGGGGTTCTATCGTGCCCATTAAGGACTGTTAGTATAAGCGGGAACATCCCAACCTAAACCCCTAAACCCCCAAACCCCCAAATCCCCTACCCAAAAGCCCTAAGACCAGGATCCGTTGCGGAAGCTGCCCATCTGGCAGCAGTCCCTTGACCCCCTGCAGGCCTGGCTTGAGTATCCTTTTTGTTGTTTGGGGGGGGGGGGGGGGGGGGGGTGTCAAGGCTTAGAGCTGAGGGTTTCGGGTTTAGGTGTTTAAGACTTTGGGGGATGAGAAGTTCAGGTGTAGGATTGAGGGGTTTTAGGGTTTAGAGTTTTAGAGTTTAGGGCTTTGGGTGGGCACTCTCCCTCCCTCTCTGAGTTGCTTTTCAGCCTCTACTGTGGTATTTTTCCTTAGAGCTTAGGGTTGCCGCAAAGAACACAGAACTTCGACCACCTCCCAACATTACGTGGCCGCGCACCTACATGATAGGTATATGTATATACTTGGCCCCGAAAGCTACTATTTAGGAACCCGGAACCCTAAACCCCTATGCCAAGTACATACTATCCCTAAACCCTAAACCCTAAACCCTAAACCGCCTTAGGGCGAGGTAGGACCATTTTTTCCAACTCGGCGCAAGGTGCACGCAGACCCGCATCAGGCGCCGGATGAAGAACCTTTCAGTTCATGAAAGATGCAGGGTTTAGGGATCTAAGAGTTTAGGGTTTCGGGTTTTGGGGATCTAAGAGTTGTCGGGTTTAGGGATCTAAGAGTGTTAGGGTTCAGGTTCAGGGATGTAAGAGTGTTAGGGTTTAGGGATCTAGGAGTTTTTGGGTTTCGGGATCTAAGCGTTTCAGGGTTTAGGGACCTAAGAGTGTTGGGATTTAGGGAATCTAAGAGTGTTGGGGTTGGGTTCAGAACTAAGAGCTTCGGGATCCAGGAGTTGCAGTCTCGGCACCAAGTGAACGCCGAGCGCTTCGGCTCAGCATCATGAGCCCATCGGAGCCTAAAACTCAACCTGAGCGGTTTAAGGTGCCATGGAAGTTTTTCGGGTCCCTGACCCTGCACTCAAGAGAACAACGCCTGCCTAAACCCCGAACCCTAAACCCCAAACCCTAAACCCAAACCCTAAACCCCAAGCCCCAAACCCTAAACCCCAAACCCCAAACCCTAAACCCTAAACCCTAAACCCTAAGCAGGTGGGTCGCTTGGAGCGAAGTCTGGCTTCGGTCAGCAACTGCCAGGCCATGGTGCGCGGCGCCCGAATCTGGAATGCTCTTGGGGATTAGGTTTTTGGGGTTTAGGGTTTGGGGTTTAGGGTTTGGGTTTAGGGTTTGGGGTTTAGGGTTTGGGGCTTGGGGCTTAGGGTTTAGCGTTTTCAAGTTTGGGGTGGCCAGGGTTTCGCCCTAGACCTGGAACCCTAAACCCTAAACCCTGAACACTTCTGAGCTCGAAGCCTTTGGACCCTAAACCCCCCATTGTCCGAGTTGCATGGTTGGAAAGGTTGAGGCTGCTGGTATGCAGGTTCCATGGACCGGTTTAGGGTTTCGGGTTTAGGGTTTAGGGTTTAGGGTTTAGGGTTGAAGTCAGCTCTGAGAAGGAGAAAGGAGATGCCATGCCAAGCAGCTCTAAGCACCAAACCCTAAAAATGGTTTGGGGCTCGACCCCGAGAAGGCACCCACACGCTCACTGTTAAGTTCATCCTCAGGGTTCAGGGTTTAGGGTTTCGGGTTTTGGGTTTAGGGTTTAGGGGGCGCTCCCTTCTGACCCCGGATGAGACTGTCCGCCGCAGTTCCGCTCAAGTCAGTCGTGGGATTGTTCATCAGCTGCCGCCTGGCCCAGCATGCAGCTCCGCTCGCCTCGAGATGTTCTGGGTCTTGATTCAGAAAGTTTCTGCATTAGCACGGAACATGCCATAAATCCGTGTATGCCCCCAAAGAGGCTTATTCAAGAACCCTGCGCTCTAAACCCTAATGGCGATGCAGCACTCTCTGCGAAGCCAACTCGAGATTCTGTGCACCACGACGCTTCCGCGCAGAAAAAGGGACAAACCCTAAACCCTAAACCCTAAACCCTAAACCTTAAACCCTAAACCCTAAACCCTAAACCCTAAACCCTAAACCCTAAACCCTAAACCCTAAACCCACATGTTCGTCCCAGGTGCTCGTCATGCTGGTGACACTTGTGGTTCTCGTGCCCAGCATGGCCGAGAACGAGACCATTGGCAAGGGAAGGGACGGAAAGGATGCTGAGGAAGCCGCGGCACAGCCAGGTGGGACGTAGGCTTTGTTTCTTTTCCCCTGATATGAGGCGAGGTTATCTCATTCTAGTACCCTGAACTAGAGGGAGTATGCTAAAACCGATTCCTATAGAACCCTAAATGATGGGCCCTTCTGGCCATGCAGAATTACTTGGGTTAACCCTCCCCCATGCTCGGCAACTCCCCTTTGATGAGCCTCCCATAAACCCACAACCCACCACACCCTAAAACCCTGAAGTCTCAGCCCCTGAGGTGATCCCTGCCTTGCCCTGCCGCATTCCATTGCCTTGACCAGTGGCGAGGGAGTGGAAGCCGCGTGCAACGACCAGAAGTGCCGTGGTGCCCTGCGCACGGCTCTGGTGGAACACCTTGAGAGGCTTCAGGACGACACTTCCCACAGAACGTGCATGCTCATGACCGTCGTGCTTATGATACTACTGGTACTACTACTACTACTACTCCTCCGCCTCCTCCTCCTCCTGCTGCTGCTGCTGCTGCTCCTGCTCCTGCTCCTGCTCCTGCTCCTGCTCCTGCTCCTGCTCCTGCTCCTGCTCCTGCTCCTGCTCCTGCTCCTGCTCCTGCTGCTGCTGCTGCTGCTGCTGCTGCTGCTGCTGCTGCTGCCGCCGCTGCTGCTACTGCTGCTACTGCTACTTCTCCCCCTCCTGTTGCGATTCTCCTGCTACTGCTGCAGCTGCGGCTGCCACGCCACCGTTTGGAGGATGGCGGCCAGGCAGAGTTTCGTGACAAGAACGGGACCGCGGACGCCTTCCTGCACAAGACTTGCGCACAGGAGGAGAGCTCCTGAACCCAAAAAGTTCACCACTCCTTCTTCCACGGGACTAAACCCACCCAAGATATGGCCCAAGGAAGGCGTAAATGGGTAGGGGGTAGTTCAGGTGGGGTCAGTACAGGATCCCGTAATTGTTGTTCCCATTGTTTCGGATGGTGGTGCATTCCCATAGTCCCCCCACATCTACTTAAGGTCCATGAGGTCCACGCTGTCCTATACTATACATTGCCTTTGAGAACCCTCAAGCCGGAGGAGAAGTCAAACCATGGCGGTGACGAGGCTGGCCACAGCTTGCTCAAGGGCGGTTGGCCGGACATTTCGTTGCCGCCATTGCCACCAATCCCGAATCCCATAACCGACCCCTTCGGCTCCACCCGACGGCGGGCATCAAGTGGACTCGGCGGCCCCAATGGACCGCTCAGGCCCTGCACGGCGAATGGCGAGTGCCCAATTCAAATCGAGAACATGTGCTTCGATAGCATCGCAGCTTGGGTTTCCGTGAGGAGATTGCGTTTTCTTTTCTTTGTTTTTGTTTCTTCAATTCGTTCTGGCTAAAACATTGAAGTTTTTCATTTTTGCCCCATCGGCCACACGGGATCCTAGGTCGTGCATGTGCGCTACCAGACCCTTTCTGGCCAATGGGTCTCAGATTGCGGGCATAGGGTTCCAAGGGGACGCCATATCATCGGAGGAGGGGGAAGACAGCTCTACACCCGAAATCCGACGATTTATGTCTGGGCTCAGGGCGCACGTACCCTGTGGGCGGGCAACTACCGCTTCTACTGCTTCGGCCGGGAGTTTCATGGCCGGATGCTGAGACTAGGTGGGACTTTACTACAACTTTATCGCTTTGTAAGTTTTGGGGTTCCCCTAAATGCATATTCAGGGAGCTAAAAGTTAAACTTTTATTGGGGGTTCCTAAACCCTGAACCCTCAACTCTCAACCCTCAACCCTCAACCCTAAACCCCAAATAAACCCTCAACCTAACCCTTAAACCCCCAGGTTAAAGAGCAACCCAGGAGAGGTCAGAAGCACTTGGACTGGCCAGGGGACAGCTGGCGCATTGGCTTGTCTTGTGGCCGGCGCAAAGGCCGGGGGACGTGGTTTCGGGTTATAGGGTTATGGGGTGATAGGGCTATAGGGTTATAGGGTTATAGGGTTCTTGGGTTTAGGGTTTCGGGTTTAGGATTTAGGGTTTAGGGGGGGACGTGGTTTCTTATATGGCCATAAGAGGGACAGGAAAGGGGGCTTCAACGCAACAACCTGACTGTAAATCCAGTATTCTCCAGAGAGCTACAAAGTTTCGCCCAATGGGATCTTCTCAATTGTGGGACCATTACTGTAGAACTCCTCCCAAAACATGTACCACCAGGCAGCATGCAGAACGAAACTGGAAGGGTCGAGGAGGCCGGCGAGATGGAGGAGGAAGGGCAAGACATCCCCACTTGCCACATGCCTGTGCCAGAGGCTTGGTTCAGGCATTTGGAGCGTGTTGTTCCCTTTTGGAGGTGTCAGTGGGAGCACTGCGGCAACCTGAACGGCGCTAGTTGGGCCCACCCGCCGCCCCCTTTATGGGGCCCTGTGGGGAAGCTGCAATTTTTCCCCCCAAGACTGAAAGCTATTTGGGTCCACAGTCCATGTCCCGACCCAGACTTGGGCCGTAAGTTCTTCCAGTCTCGAAAGGAAGGGTCCCCTTGCAAGGGCCCCCTGGTTTTTAGGAGGGATTTCGAGTGAATGACTTGAATTTTGGAATGTGTGGGGATGTTTCGGGCGCTTCGTGCATCCCACTTTGGTGTCCAGGGTCGTCAGCAACTCAGAGGCTTTCCGTGTATATATATATATGTATATATATATATATAGATATATTTATATTTATACGTAAGCATCCCTACTCATGCATGTCAGCGCTTGCGGCCAGCCTGAAGATGCTGAAAGCGTGGGGTCCAGAGTTAGCGTCTTGGGCTGGGGGGGGGAGGGGGAGGGAGGTTCCCTGGGCTGTCTGTTCAAGGATTGGCTTCTAAGCTTCAAGTCTGCTTCTGGCAAGGACGAGTGCTCGCATCTTATCTCCCCACCGCGGCTGATCTGAAGAAGGCTCTGAGCCAGGTTTTGTGATGCTTCATGCAGGGAGGGGGGCATGTTCTGCTTACTTACGAAGGCTTCGGGTGAAACTCCATCCGTGGTCAAAGGACCACTTACATCAGCCGGACCTCCCTCGATGAAGCTTTGTTATAAGCACATTTGCGGAGGCAGAAGAGAGGTCTTTCTAACTCTTGCCTTTGAAGGAGTCTTTGAGGTTGGAGGAAGGCAGCAAGAACTGTAGAAGCCTGTATCATCAGGAAAAGCATCCCGACTCTGGTAGTGTGAGTGGCCTTAGCTCGGTCCTTCATGTTCCTGCCTACTTGGGCTCCCTACTAAAGCCCGCATTGATCCAAACCCATCCAAGACACCATAAACTCACTACGCAAGCGCACACAGAAACCCTTGCCTAATGTTTACGGAATCTATTATTGAGTGGCCCTGCAGCGCTTTGCAAGCCTCAGTGGGGCCAGGATTCCGCAGAGTAGGGTTTAGGCCTTGATGAGGGTTTGTAGGGTTTAGGGTTTAGGGTTTGGGTCAGGAGTCCGCAATGTAGCAGCTTAAAGCGAGACTGAGAATGGATGTTTGGATAGGGTACATTCTCGTTCTGACTACTGCGGCTAGATTATACTTTTTCGCTGCAGCTCCATGATCCAAGCACCCGGATAGTCAATTATCCCGATCTTGCTCTTATCTCTATCGGTGATCTTGACTGTCGCCGGGGAGGGAGGGGGAGAGGGAGGGCATTTTTCCGGCTTCAGAGGTTGGAGTTGCTGGACAGGCTTCTGAAAGCTTCTGGTGCCTCACACAAGTTGTTCAAGAAGGTGACCCATTGGGGCATCCCTGTAGTTCGAAACCACCAATGTTGGGGGGGGGGGGGGGGGGGGGTGAGGGTTGAGCGTTCAGGGTTTAGGGTTTAGGGTTTAAAGGGGGGGGAGGGTGGGGGGCACGTCGGGTTTCAATTGAAAGCAGGGAACCTTATTGCCGATAGAGAGAGAAAAGACCTCAGAGACTCCAATGTTCCCATGCACGCAGTTCACGGTTTAGTTGGCTGGAAGGAAAGCCTTCCTTCGAACCAACCCTACAGCAATTCGTGCCGTTCTGGTTTCAAAAGCGTCGCTTGGCAATGACGCACTTCTGCTGGGGCTCGCAGCTCAAAGCGCTGCCAGTTGCAGCTGTGCCGGTTTTAAGGAGGACCCTCTGTGGCCTTAGGGAGACCACAAGGGGAGTCCTCCATCGGAAGCATGGCCCCTCCAAGAGTGAGGGTCGCCAATGCAACAAGTCAACCAGGTGGAGCATCAAAAGACGTGAGCAATAAGTGGGGCCCCTTTCCGAAACTAGGGGTACCTTATTGGGGTCTTTCTTATAAGGGAATCCAACTGTTTGGGGGTTTATATTTGGGGTCCCTCATTTCGTAAACCCCATATAAGCATTTTGTACTATCCCCCACAACCGACTCCAATTATTCAGGCCCTACTAGGCACCCCAATTTCATAATACTGTAAATGCCCCCCGCCCGCCCCCCAAAAAAATGAACACCCTAAACCCTGAACCCTGAACCCTAAACCCTAAACCCTAAACCCTAAACCCTAAACCCTAAACCCAGGCCGACTCTCTCCACGTTTGCTGCACGAGCGGCAGCCATGCTGCGGTCCTCGGCATACCTACACCAGCCAGGGACCCAGGACGGTTTAGGGTTTAGGGTTTGGGGTTTGGGGTTTGGCGTTTAGGCTTGAATTTGAGTTTATACAGGGTCTAGCTTCAACTTTTGAACCTCAATTCTCTCGCAGACCCTCCAATACTCCAACATCGGGTTTCCGTATGCGCCAAAGTAGAAATGATGGTTTCTATACTGGCTCGAACCCAAACCCTAGAGCTCTTAAGCCCTCTAAACCTACCTTAGGCAGTAAACCCATACCTAAAGGTTCTGAAGCCCTGAAGCGGATTGCTGGTTTGGGGGCTTGGGAAGATGAACGTAAGACGAAAAAACAGGAGGGCTGTTCTCCTGTGTGGGCTCGCACTTTCGGGCTTTGGGTTTTGGAGTTTGAGGGCCAAGGGTTTAGGGCTGGCTTCAGAGTCCAGGGAATTCGGGTTTAGTGTGTAGCGAAATTATGGTCCAGCGTTGTGGTCCCATTTCAAAGGCCCAGCCTTACCCCAAGAAGAAGGCTCCAAAGTACTTCCTGAAAGGCAGCCTCTGGGGGTCTACATGGACTTTTTTGGGGGGATGAAACCCTAAACCTTAAACCCCCTATCAGCAGCCTCGTGGTCTGAGGTACGAGCGGTATGGCTTGGGTCGGGAGGACATGAGCGAGGCATTGGGATCTGTGCTTTGGAGGGTGGCGGGGCAGGGGGGTCCCTACGGATGAGGGCTTATAGCGTTTGGGTTTTGGGATGAAGGGTTTCCTGTTCAGGGTTTTGGGGTTTGGGGCTAAACATCGGGGTGTGCGGTTTTGGTGGGGTTTGGGGTTCAGTGTGGAGTGGGAGTGGTGTGCGGGATTGTATACACAAATGTCTTTGTAAATTCAGGATGACATGTTGGCAAGCCCAGTGTTTTAAATAATGTGAACGTCTCAGATTTGAAAGACATGAACCACATCGGAATTGAAACCAACTTCCATATTTGTGCGTCTGGAGGGGCTTAGGGTTTAGCGGGCAGCTGCATTCAGCACTTGCGGTCGATGTCTACTGACATTGGGCCATTGGGAGGCTAAGCCCTAAAAGCTCTAAACCCTGACGCCTTCATCCAGAACGCTTGCCGGCGAGATTTCGCACTCCAGCGCAGAGTCCTGCTTTTCTGAAAACTTGGTAGCCCAGTGGTACCCTTTTCCCTTTTTTTGGTTTAAGGTTCCCTTAGAAATTAGCCAACCCAAAAAGGGTGCCCTTATTATAATATGATTGCTGGGGTGCCAAGGAGAAAGGTCAGCCCTTAGATTCCAGCAGTTAGAAGACCCGAACCGTCCACGTACCTCTGAGAGCCTCACAGTCGCAACAGTGTAGGTAATGTCGTGACCACCTTTTTGAAAGGAAGTTTTTTGGCCCAAGTAAACCCTATTTAGGTGGATGCAGCCGTTCTCTTGCGCGCCAGGCTATTCTCCACATGCTCCAGGTGACCCGCGACTACGAGCAAGTTGATTAGCAGCAACAGAGTGGCTGCCTCCCATCACCCTCTGTGCGGAAACAGTCTCGAGTCTTGCACTAAGCCGCCTTAGAAGCTCTTTGCCCCACACCTTAAGCCTGAAGCCTAAACCCTAAACCTTAAAAGTCCTGAATCCAAAGCCCTCAGCTCCCAATCCCGAAACCTCGACCCTAAGCACCCAACTCTTCTAGACCCTAGTCTAGGACCCAGGGTAGGCCCTTATTCCTTGTTTAGGGTTTAGGTTCCCTGTTTATCTCCTTTGGACCAAAAAGGCGCCCCTTTTATTGCCAGTTCACTCTTGGGTCTAGCAATCATCCTGAACCCTAAACCCTAAACCCTAAACCCTAAACCCTGAACCCTGAACCCTGAACCCTGAACCCTGAACCCTAAACCATAAACCCTAAACCCTAAACCCTGAACCCTGAACCCTAAACCCTAAACCCTAAACCCTAAACCTCAACATCACGACCGTCTGCACCCCCACATCGGCTGCCGGTG